GTTATAGCTCAGTATTTTAAAAGAGTTTTAGCAACAAAAAATCAATTTTAGGAAGCATAGACTCTATGCGCTTCACATAGAAGAATGACATCATAAAGAGAAACTTGAAAGAACTGCTAACTTAATTAATTTGTATTCAAAAGAATCGGCGATATGAGTTTCAAGTTCAAATGTCACAATAATATTTGTTGTGCAATCAACACATGTACGTTAATAACTAAAGGAGAAGCAACACATAGATTGCTACAATAGGACCTGATGTTGCTAGTGCAGTTTTAAATGTTTAGTGATTACAAGGAAAAGCTAAACGGTAGTCCTAAATGATCTAAAAATACATAGTCCAGGAAAATTGTCACAAAGTGACAATCTGGAACAATGACCTAGATTATATTGACTTTGCGGACATCGGTGTATTGGCATAGACTTACACGTCAACAAAAAATTGTTGTGACTTTAAACCTCCCGGCATCATTGGTTAGTAATTTTTTCAAAACCACGTCAATGGCAAGTGCAACAGATCATTAATAACAACAAAACATCGGAAATGAATGAAAATTATTTCCTATTTTAAAGTCAATACGTTGAACAATAAGTTGGTTGTGGAATCAGAACTTTGCTTACACTATATTTAACGTGGCAGACTATTCAACTTGTTTTTGGTGTATCATTCGACACTACATTTTAACGACAAAACTGAAGTTTCTGTATCAACCGGTTTATTGTTGTTTTCACGTACATCGTTAACTGAACTGATTACTATTTTTAGCTTCACTTCTTTATATTAGTGTTATTTAAACAGGTTTCTAATAAGGTTGGAATGTTTTTGAACTTTGAAGTACTATCAAATGAAATTAGTCTCACTGTTTGCTAACTTTTGTAAACTATTGAGAAATATAACCTTATATACTGCCATCTTACTGGAAGTGGTCGGATGCTTTTGTTTAACTTTTTTGAAATTATCCTTTCAGTGGCCTTGAAATACCCTTAGAATGCCTTCCTAGAAACAAGCTAATCATTGATTTTGACTCAACGACCGCAAAAACGTATGTAACACGGATCTGGACTCGACTGCTTTACTTACCTAATTATTCCCTGAAGTGAGCTTGAAATTACATTCAGATGTCCTCATAGTGGCTAACTGACCTCTGATTCGGACAGAAAAACCTGAATGATATGTTGTTCGACTCAAATTTCGGCTTCTTTTAAAAACGTCCTTGATATGATCCTTGAAGCGACCTTCAAATGCTCTCATAGAGAAACTAACCCCGAATCATAATGAAAATCCCGGAAAGGGCTATTTTTTCAGCTTCTCGGTTTTCTCGACTGTTGTGCGATGGCGACACGTGCTACATGGAGAATAAATACCAGAATGAAGATTCTGCATGGACGCTTTGAGGTCACATGAATTGGCCACCAAGTTCGTTTGATGCAAGCCTAATAGACACTACTTTGAGAAATTTCTGCAAATGCAGGTCTATGCCCATAAGCCGCAATCCTCCAATGTCCTCCAGTCAACATAACTCAGGATATCTCTTGAATGGACAAGTCTACCATTTTTTTGTTGTGAATGCAATTTTTAGAAAACTGAAACAAGATGGTGAAAAAATTATTAATTTATCTCTAAGAACAAAAAAGTTACAGCCCATCAAAGTTGCGCCCCGCGAGAATATTTGTTTAATTCGTCTGTACGTTACGACACTTCAGACTTTAGTGTCCAGTTGCAACCAGTGGGCGTTTACGCGTATACATTAATAGTCTTACAATGAATACAATGTATACATTGCGTATACAATGTATACAATCATGAAGACAATGTATAGAATAGCATAAGTGAAGTTAGGTTTATTCGCAAACGTCAGAAAGTTGGTAAACAGTGAACCGACAACTTAAAAAAATATGGTTGGACGCTCCAAGAACAAAGAAATCGATGAACTAGGCTTCATTTGTTGTTTCTAATTCATTTAAAAATGTATCTTTGTATTCGTATATAAATAAATATTATATATTTTTTCATTATTTATAAACTGCTTAAACAGTCAAACCAATAATGCAATGTTACAGAATTTGTATCTATCTTGAACTTTCAGTTCCACCTAAAATCGGAGAACCTTTAAGATCGATCTGGAATTGATCCCAAACAGATTCGACAGAAATGTGTATTTGAGCGTAGAAAACAAGGCATTGCAGCAAGTTACAGTTGTGTTATGTGGCCTTCATCACTGTTGTGCCAGGCAACGTGGTGTGTGGCGCACTCTTTCTACACAAGTGGTGTCCGCTTGTCCCCCTCTCTTCCTCGTACACATGGATATCTTTAAAAGGGAACGGGTATATGCAAGTAGTTGACCTATGATTTGCTATTGTATACTTTTATATACATTATATACATTGTGTACGTGGATGTCTAGACGTATATATTCACCATTGTATACGCGTATACAATGGTGTATTATTATACATGGTGTATACAATGCGCCTATCACTGGTTGCAACGCCCGCGGCCGATTCCTGGGCCCGAGCCGACTCAATCTCCTAAACACATGCATAGGCACACATACAGCGGGACAGATGGTAGGTCTTCAGCCCTAATTTGTTTAATTAGTTGACTGCATATACGATCGGTTATGAGCGAAATAAGAAAAAAAGGTTGTCATAAATACTGTGCCGTTCCAAAATGTACGAGCACAACAATTACAACCCCTAATAAACATTTTTTCTGCATACCTTCACATCCGGCGTCCATAATGGTATGAACTTACGCAGTACTCAATAGTTACCAACTGAAAACCACGTGTCCGAGCGCACAGGGGTGCCTTATGAATTGTCTATAGACTAATGATTAAACGCACAGACACTGTCGAACACCTACGCGATGAGACGCTGAGTACTAGAGAAGTATGACGTCAGACGCACGAACGGCAGCTATGATTTCGCGCTATAATGCGCCAAATTTCAATAATTTTTTAACTGGCTGATTATATTTGGTCTATATTTTGCTGGTACGTCATTACTTATGCGATTCTGAATATCACCAAACTCCTTCATTCTACCGGGCCCATACTGCAGAGCATTGAAAAAATAGGACATCTCGAGTCCTTATCAATATGCGATGCCGTGGCGGACATTTGAAAGTTGTCATACTCCGTATATAATGCCATACATAGACGTTTTGAACAGAAACAGAATTTTGTTAATATCTCATATGCAGGTTACTTTATTCGATTTCATCCTTCTTATTGAAAAACCTTTTAGGTCATTCAAAGACCAGGAGGATAATTTACTAAAGAAATGGTCTACTTTAACTTGCCGATACTTAAGAATGGATTTTCTTTAGAACTTAATCTGGAATTAACAGGGTCTTCAAAAGTAGATACATAGATACACCTTCCACAACACCGTTTCGTTGATAACAGAAAAACAATAATTTTAAGGGAAACAATTTTAAATTGACAATCCAATCTTTCGCCTTCCTTGCTTTTTCTGACATTAAAAAAAGAAAAAGTAAACTAACACGTTAAATAAATAGGGAGCATAGAAGTCATCCAGAAAAAAAGCTGTTCGTGTTAGCTGTGTGTAAAATACTAGATAAGGTATTAAGTATAAGTTATTACTTTCAGCCTAGATACTTGTAGGTAGTACATGTCCATGCTAACGGGTTTGAAGCTATTTCAAAAACCTCCTCAGGAACCAAAAAGCGAGATACACAAGCTATATTCCAATTAGAAGGATAGATTCACCTGTTGTTTGTATTAGTGAAATTGAACGATGAAACAAGGTATCAACTTTAAGCCTTACCACACTTTCATAATAAAAACAACTGTTTTATTTTGTCTCCACCTTTGTTTGAAAATAATTTCTCTTAGCAGATGACAGTCGAAAATTTCAGATTTGATGTACACGAGTAGGTAAGTTTAGGTATACTTCTTGATGAATTTTTCAAATTTATTCAAAGTTTATAGAATATTATTCCTTTTCTTTTATGTATATTTATTTTGTAAATATGTTTTAAAGGTTAAGTGGTAAAGTATCAAAAACTAAATTTCGCACTTACTAAAGACGTATATTTATTAATTACTCGTATTATCGATAATATTAAGTTAAATATTATGTTATGTTTTTGTGTGTATAATAGATGAAGATCAAAACATACGCTTCCAACGCCTCGAAAATGACCTGCGTGAGGCTTTCGGTTGTTACTCTCATGTATAAATAGCTGCTAGTATAAAACTGATTTCTACTTATCAGATGTTATCGAATTGTGGACGGTTTTGAGATAGAATGAAACCCACACGTTTATCCATTCTGTAAATATCTTTGATTTAAACATTCTAGGAAGGACTATCTTGCACAGAAAATTGAGATATCTCATGGCTTTTTCTGTTGATGGACATTTCAATAATTTCTGTACAAGTTAGTCAAAACAAATTGATTTTTATGTGCTCACATTACACCAAAAGTCAATTTGTTTATGAATCTGTGATATTTTTAGTCTATCTGTTTAGTATAGTTTTCGTATTCTCAATATAACTACTAGCGTCTAAGATTCGTTGAAACATCGTACATTATTTCAGTTGACAGTATGATGTATGAATAAATGTCGTTGAAGTTGGTGCGTATTACAACTCCCATAACGTACTCCCAAGAAGCGAAGATATTGGAAATAATTTCTAGAGGAAGTGCTTCGCCGATTTTGATATTTACAGAACATTAGATTTCCCAAAAAGGGGAGAACTTTCGTTACCTTAACTAAAACTCCATATACAGTCTTATATAGCAAGTCTTCTATAATAAACATGAATAAAAAAAACATGAAATTTTTATCCAAGGAGTTCGTAATTTAAATTCAACTATCGCAATTTTTAAAGAATTGCCCTGATCGCTGTAGGCGTTAAGGAGTGCCATAATCGCCCAACATTTACTGACATTTAGCGCACATCTGTAAATGTGTTTCCAGTTGATAACAACGTTGATGTTAAAAATATATACCACAAAATACTTTTTAGTCCTTCTTATCTCTTGTGATGGTCTTAAAATGTTCAGGCTAGAACAAATAAAATTCTACGTAAACGTTAAAAAATCAAAAGTATGTCTGTGTCAAGGATATTTTCAACGAATTGTATTAAAAAGGTCTGTAAGCTGTTAAATATTCAAATTGTTTCTTCTCCTGTGCCTTTCTGTCTTCACAGCAGAGCATCATCTTCATTTCTATCGATGATAGGTTCTAGGTTACAAATGTACACCTCGTACTAATTAGTTAATAAAAAGTATTGACATTTTGGGATGTTTTTTATTTATAGCCAAGTAAATGAGCATTTTTTATCTAAAAAAACATATTGAGATATTAGTTTTTAGTCTAATGAATCCCGCGGTAGTTGGGTACTGAAAAAAAAAATTCAACTTTTTTTTTGGAACGGTCCTTTGCATATTATAGAAAACTCATAGCTTGCAGCTACAAAAGCTACATGCGTAATATTTTCTAACTAACTGTCAGGCAATATGTAAATGCTCGTATGAAGAAAATTCTTAGAGCCATCCGCTTGATAAAACAATTTTTCAAACTTACCAAACCCCGTAATCAATGAAAATTAGACAAGATGTAAAGAAGGCTTCTTAACGCTATGACATGCCTGACTGTCAGTGTATATGGCGATCGTTTTATTTTTATACTCTCGCTCGTTACTCTTGCGCAGTGCACGATTCTATACACTTCTGCCTGAAATACAGAGGTGTATCTTTCAAGCGGTATACTATGCCCAGGATTGCACCTGTTCCCATATATGCCTGCACCTGTTCCCTGCTCAGTTTTTAATCCGTCAAAGTTCTTTTTGAATACAAATCTGGGAACTATATAGTCTATCCTCGCATCTACGAGCCCCTTCCCACTTCAGTTGGCCCACTTGATTTGTACCAAAATATGCCTTTATAAACTATTTACTTCTAAAACAATTTATTTTCTCAAAAACATTTTAGATACACTCTAGTCGTAAAAAACACATATACTAAGTGACATATAAATCCGAACACCCAGTTTAAATGGTTTCATTTTAATAAAATTTTGTATAAGTACTTAATGAAGCATAATAAGTAAATGATAAAAATTTCAAAATGATTGCACTGCTTTAAAGCCCTTTGACCTTTAATAATGTGTGGATGCACCCTGATGTGCTACGCATTCTCTAACGCGCCTAGGCATGCTTCTGATCAGGTGGTCAATGTCCTCCTGTGGTATCTCATTCCAGGAAACCACCAACTCCTCTCGAAGTGCTTCTAGAGTCTGAGGAGGACGTTGCAAATTGAGCAATCTCCTACCCATCATATCCCACACGTGCTCAATTGGGGATAAGTCGGGAGATCTTGGTGGCCATGGTAACAATGTGACATCATTATGTTGAAAGAAGTCTATTGTGACTCTTGCAACATGTGGTCGGGCATTATCTTGTTGGAAAGTTGGATCTGCCAGGGTGTCAAGATAGGGTAAAAGATGGGGTTCTAGAACTTCGTGGATATAACGCTGCGCGTTCATGTTACCTCTGATGAAGATTAAAGGTGACCTGGAACCATAAGCTATAACACCCCAAACCATAACTCCAACAGTGTGATGAACATGTCTTTCAACAAAAAACTGTGGATTCCTCCTTTCACCACCTCGCCTTCTAACCCTGACACGACCATCGTGCATGCCTAAACAAAATCGAGACTCGTCACTAAAGACAATACTGTTCCATTCCTGATCCCAGAGTGACCGTTGTCTGCACCACTCAAGGCGATTACGTCGGTGTTCTCGAGTTAAAGGGAGGACCCAGTGTGGCCGGTCTGTTGTTCTACGGCGGCGTCCAGTGCCCCTTGCTCTTTGCGTACGGCCTTCTCGAAACCATGCCTGACAACACCTAACCACAGTGTCTACACTTCTTTGCACTCTAACTGCAATTGCCCGAAAAGAAAGTCCAGCTTCCCGAAGTCCCACTATACGGCCCCTATCAAACTCACTAAGTTGACGAAATCGTACAGGTCTCCGTACTCTAGGCATCGTAACCGATCGTAAAGGATGTCAAGAACCAAAATCCGCCAACGTTGATTCTTTACTGCGGCTGAAATATTCATTTTTAGAGCATTAGTGAATTAAAAAAAAGCAGTATAAAAACCGGAATGTCCAACTGATACGGCTGAAAATTTTTTCACTTGTTATTTACAGTAAGATAAATACATTCACCAACTTTTATTAAAATAAAACCATTTAAACTGGGTGTTCGGATTTATATGTCACTTAGTATATTTGAAATCACTTAGACCTATAACTAATAGAACATCTGAACAAATAAACAATGTGCGAATAAATGCGAAGTTAACAAAGCAACAATTGAAAGATTACCATTGGGTCACATAACCTTTATTTTTTATTACGGCTGAAATTCTTTGGCGCATAATGTGAACCAAGTTTTGTCAAAAATTTGGTGTAAAACAATCCCATATTTCTTGAAGCTTTTGTCTCAGTTCGGTGATTGTACGAGCAGGATGTTGTAGAACCTTTTTCATCTCGTGCCACAAAGTTTCAATAGGTGACAGATCTGGTCTGCTAGAAATCCATTTCAAAAGTGGTACATTATTTTCTTCCATCCATTGTATAGCCTTTTTTGAGGTATGGCACGCTCCACCATCTTGCTGAAACACAAAATCTTGGCCGGATGTCAAACATTCTTCCATCACTGGTAAAAGCGATTCTTCTAAAATTGCCAAATATTTGTTTGTATCCACATTTCCATCAATAAAATGAAATTTTCCTACTCCTTTTGATGACATACTGCCCCAGACAACAATGGATTCTGGAAATTTCACTTTTCTCTTCAGACAGTCAACATGGAATGCTTCATTTTTTTGCGACTGTCACCAACACAAACTTCGAATCGAGCCTCATCACTCCATTGTATTGCACACCATTGTTGAGGTGTCCATTGTCTATGTTCTTTAGCCCATCTAAGCCGATTTTTCTTTTGCAGTGGAGTTAATAGTGGCTTTTCTTTGGCCATATCAAGTTTTGCAATTTTAGGGTTTTTACTTCACTTTTTTAATAAGAAAACTTACCTTGCAAGTTCTAAATCCCAGTTTGTGGGCCTCTCTATGAGTTGTGGACCTCGAAATTCTCCTTCCAACAGCGTCACTCCACAGAGCACTTAATTGTAATTAATTGGCACGCCTGTTTTTCACGATTAGTCTTCTTAATGCTCTTCGGTCGGCATTTGTGATATTACTTTTTTCACATATTGTGGCTTAATATTAACTGAACCAGTTACGTTATATCTTCTAACAATATTTCTCACACTGTACCGCGATAGGTCTAACAAAGTTACAATTTCTGAGTTTGATTTCCCAGAATTAAAAAATTTAATTATCAGTAACCGAATTTTCTCACTAATAACCTTTCCTCTGTCCATTTTGAAAACCTTAACTACCCAAAACTATTTTAAACGTATTCTGACAGCTGTGATTAATAAAAACAATTGTCATGGCTTTTATTTTTCACAGCCACCTATGCGTAATAGACTTATTTTGCATCGAAATGAAAATAGGTTGATATGCTGTAATTGCAACATGTGTTATTTTTATGCTGCAAGTTTGATTAGGGAGTGATAAAGTTGGTGTTTTCTACTATATATTATCAAAATATTCATTGCTAATATGTTAAACTTATAACACCCTGCTACATTTTTATTATTTGTGTTTGATAAAAAAACTAAGATTTCAATAGTTGGGTCAACTGAAGTGGGAAGGGGCTCGTAGTATGTCACTCCCCTTCAAACATGTTTCCTTATTCGATTATGTCCAAGGTCCTCATATCTTCCCTTTGGCTGATGGAGTAGCCCATCCTCGCCTCCCCCATTATTACATAGTGTTCGGGTGGGAGGTCCAGCATGCAGTTGGAGCGCCCTTCATTGGACCTGTTACCGGCAGGCAAGCAAATCTTTGTACATTGCTTAATTGAAGTGAAATTGATATTGCGATTAGGTTTGATATACAATTTTTTCGAAACCAAAGCGAAAAGAGTATTGTGAATCTAACAATAATGATTTTAGAAAAACTGTAATTAACGTCATTTGGCACAAAGCCTTCGAATTATCAGATAGAAATTATTGTAACAAAGAAGGTGCTTCAATTCTAGCGAGTCCTGACTGACACTTGACACAACAGACTATTTCATGTCACATAATTTCTATCTAACCTTGAATGCAGTTTAGGAACGTAATAAAACAACGCATATTCTCTGACACTCGAGTGTATTTGAAACAGTAACATAATCAAGGAGGTTTGAAACGGTTATATTGAACAGTATAATAAGTAAATACTATTTTATGCGAAATATGAAAAAAATCCTATCACTAGCGTCACCTCTATATACATGTAGATGGACCAATGGCTGACTTCATGACAGACTCGGTTGCCTGGTAGAGGAGTATTTCTTAAGAAAACAGATTCACCCACCTGTTTCAACGTCCAACTGCAAAGATCCAGATGAAGCATGAGACACTGATACCATACTGTGGACTCGTTCTTGGCTTTGGATTCTCATAAACAATGCTCGAAAATACCTTTTCACTACTTCGTTGATCTCGAATGGTACATAAAATGTAAGTAGATAAAAATATCGAAATATATATGCAGATTCAAATTGATTATTGGCCATCTACAACGACCGCTTGGATACCAAGAATCTCACAAACACATAAGAAAACACATCAGGAATAACCAGTAGAAAGTGCTCTATTAATTTTCTGGCAGCTTTTGCCATACGCTCTGACGTCTATCAAATAATTTTATGGATGCACCGTTTTCGACATAATATATTTCTAGGTTTTTTTTTCATCACAAATCTAACATTGCTGTTAGAAATGAGACTAAATTATTATGACAGCGACACTTCTGCACTTTTCTCCTGAGAATGATCAGGGAAGCGACTCTTCTATCATAGTCTGGGAGCAGCCAATAAGGCTACGTGTGCCGTTATATGTCCCCTCAGTTTGAATGCCATATTTAAAAATAGCGGCCAAGTTGTAAAACGGTTATTCAACATATCTTCGTAACTCCTTTTTTAACTATAAGCATTCATCAATTTGGGCAGTTACAGTCACATAACTAAAAGACAGAGTGGCCCCTTTAGTGGAGAAAATCATTATCGTCTATTTGAAAATATTATATTCAGAAGCACAAAGGAGAGCTTTCGCTAATTTTACCACAAAATTGAAATAACATTGTAAGTTTAAAATCAGCCACTAAGGTCACGTTTTCATGCGGGGCACTAGTAAGCACATAGGAATATATAAAAAAACCTAGGTCACGTGATCCAAAACGTGGTGGTTTGGCCGCCATATTTAAAAATTCTGAATATTTTTCTGTTTCACCCCTGAGCTAGAAGCCTCATCACCTGACAACTTAATTCAATATTCAATTAAATACATTCGACCTCTCCGTAGGTGGTAGATGGTCTCTGACTGTCGAACGCGGAGGTACCACCCGGCGGTTCTCGTAGGCGGAGCCACAATGTGTGCATGTTGCATGCACACGTGTTCCCTCGCCAGAGTCCGTGTGGCGTCCCCCCTTTCCCATGTATCCCCCATAGCCCCACGGTACCCAATGGGTGCTTAGGCCTTAGGCCTTCGTGGTAGTTGGAGTATAAAAAAAAAAAAGTAGCACCCTCCTGCATCGATACACTGTTCAGGGAGGCCGTCGAAGTAGCTTCAATGTTCTCTAAGGTGTCCAGATGCTGTCCCTTGAGGCCCCTTTTTAGTCGAGGAAACAAAAAGAAGTCCGCTGGAGCCAGATCGGGACTGTACGGTGGCTGGGGCACCGTCGTGACACCGATCCGAGTCAAGTAGGCGACGGTAACAAAGGCGGTATGGGACGGTGCGTTGTCGTGGTGGAGTTTCCATGGAGATCGAATTTCTCTTCGAACGCGGGCAACCCTGTGTTTCAGTCTTTGAAGAACTTCTTTGTAAAATTGAGCATTGACGGTCTGGCCAGGGAGTACAAACTCGTGGTGCACGATTCCCTTAGCATCGAAGAAGACAATGGCCTTGGATTTGATCTTGGACTTGCTCATTCGAGCTTTCTTCGGGCGTGGCGACGCGGGCGTGTGCCATTCTGCGCTCTGCCGCTTTGTCTCTGGGTCGTACTCGAAAATCCATGTCTCATCTCCCGTTATTACATTGTCTAGGAAATTTGGATCATCCGCACACAACTGTTTCAGTTCCTCACACACAGCGACACGATGGAGTTTTTGAACGTCGGTCAAAACTCTGGGCACAAGTTTTGCACAAATTTTGCACATGGCTAAGTCTTCCGACACAATTTCGTGAACTGTGGTCTTTGGCAAGTGCAAAAGGTCAGCAATCAAGCGGACACTCAGTCGACGGTCTGTGCTGAGAATTTCTCGCACACGGGTCACATTGTCATCTGTTCGTGATGTCGATGGACGTCCTGAACGCATTTCGTCATCGACCTCCTCTCGCCCTTCCCGGAACGACTTGTGCCACTTTTTTATTTGTGAATATGACAGGCAGGCATCCCCAAACGCTGTTTGAAGCAAATCCAATGTCTCCTTCGGTGTTTTGTTTAGTTTCACACAAAACTTTATCGCGTATCTTTGCTCTAAAGTTTTTTCCATCGTAACTTCGACGATGTCGCAAAACAAGGGCTAACAAAAATCAGCGTACACACTCTCCAAGAGGTCGGAGGTAACTGGCAAGTGTACGGTACGACTGTAAAGCTGAAGGTTCCCCCCACCCATCCCAACTGGTCGCATTGCACTACGTTGCCAAGCTGCGTCACAAATAAATGAAGCTCATTACTTTCCGGACACACCATGTATGTTTGTTCTTGAAAAACAAGCAAAATGGTTGCTTTAGAAAATTAAATTCAGCTTACTGGCTACGAAGATGTGTGGGATAATTGTTTTGCAACTTGGTGGTCATTTTTAAATAGTGGCCAAACAACCACGATCTGTGTTGCATGATCTAATGTTTTGTATGTATACGAGTATATATAATACCTCGCATTGAAACTGAGTGGACATTTAACAGCACACCTGACCCTAGTGGCTAATCCTAGAACCTAGACTATCAGTGTTAAAACAGTTCGTCGGAAGGTAATACAGCTACGCCCACTTTCTATCAGTTATTCCACTCTCTCATTTCAATTGGCCCCCTGGCATAATAGACGGAAACGTAAATGGCATTTAGACCCTATTCCATGAGTATCCATCGCGCTTTGGCGTTTACTGAGATTAACAGCTGATCAGCAAGTGACTCTTTTGTGTTAGTCGGCAAGGTAGGCAATAATGAATCGGGTGTAAATCTAGTAAAACTTGTTTGTAACGTTTTTTTTGTATGCAAATGAACTTTTCTAAATAAAAGAGCTTTTAGCAAGTACAAAATGAATCTGTAGTGTACAGAAAAACAAAACAAAATATGGCTCTGTCTACCTGGCATTGACGGATCCGTCAGAATGATGTGTTCTTTGGAGATATTGGGAATTTCGAAATATTACTAGATAACTAGCTGTCATTTTACCCTAATGGATGCTCGTGAAAAAGGCCGTACAATGGTTTGACAATCATAACCTCCAAATTGATAAATACCAATGTCATTGTTCTTTTTTTCCTCAAAATATTCGTTTTTGTAAATAACTCTTATCGTTGAAGAAGTAATCCTGGTGATTCTTAGGATCGAGATCTTGAACTATAGTATTCTGTATTGGTTAAATAGGTCTAAACATTTTTTATAAGAAATTTGTGTAGAGTATATCAAAAAAAATAACTGCATAAGGACTGCACAGATCTGGTTATGTCACAAAATATTCCAAAACCGTTTTCAGATCGTTTCTTTTAGGAAACGCTTTAACAGCGATTTGTCTTGTGACGTACATCCTTATTACGTAAAAGCAAATGTAAATGTCAGACTGCAATATAACACTCGCTGAATTTGTATGACGTACATTGACCACTTCTTTGTTTCTAGCGTGTCAAGATTGTGGAACAATCTGCCTGAAAATGTTTTTTCTACTAACCTTAGTCGGTTCGAAAATCGGATTAACAAGTTCCTTTTAGCAGTCGCGGTGCCCGTTATTTAGGATTCTGCCTACGCAACTGCTTCAGTGTAAAAAAATAAAAGCCCTGCGACATTGCCTCACTGCTTTACAGATGGCGCTCGCAGATGCCATTCATATCTTCTATGGCGTAAGCTGTAAGTTCTATACTATAACTGGAAAGAAACGCCAGTGTAGTAATGATCCACAGCCAGAAACTGGTTGGACATCAACTTATTATGCGGAAACTCCTCGTGCTGGATTGTTTATTGCATATGAAAAGTTGCTGAATTTAAAAAATACGAGAAATCAAGGGAAAATTCGCTGTTGCTGAAGGACATTACAACAGATGAAAAGGTGGGCTACCGTAAATTGTATGATGTTAAGAATGAAGGCAATTTAATATATAACGTCAGCCGTTGTTCGTACAAAATGTTGATTGGTTATATCCGTAAAAAGCAACTATATAAAGAGGCCGATTGCACTCGAGACTCGATATATTACAGTGGTAGCGTCGTTAGTGACTGGTAATAATAATGTTTGGCATAGTACTGGTATATTTTTGGTTAGTATCAGTTAGATTATCCAGCGAAATCATTTTATAAATTATAGGTTTAAATTTTATTTCATTAAATACACCCTTAGAAAGACTTTAAGCAATTCTCTGTGCCAATCACATCTATTATATACGAAGCGGATGAAGTTCTCGTTTTTACAAGCGTTTTGGTCACAAAATCCAACTTATTTGTCTGTCCCTCCCTGCTCTGAATATCCAGTGTAGTTTTTTACTTCTACCACCAATTGATCCCTTTCCACCTCAGATATACTGCATGGATAGCATATACCTATATTATAATAATGTTGTCGCATCGAAATTAAGGATCAAATAGCATCACATGCAGTCCAATAATCAATACTGGCGAACATCCAGATGCCGTCTTTATACTCGGTCATGTTTTCTCCGTCATACCTTGTCCAAAAGTATACTCAGAAACTATGCCAATAGCTTCTAACGCAGGACCCATCCATCCATCCTTCCTAGCAAAATATGGGTTGCAGTAAGGTTAACATATGCATAACTGCATTGACAAATGTAATTTATCTTAAAATAGTTAATATGAAAAGAATCGAAATATATTTAAGCATTCCTTCTAAGAAGTGAAAATTAAAGTATCGATTATCCTTCAAGAACAAATACTACTGGTTCAGGACAATCATAGAGCCTTAAAAAAATTCTGACACGACGCTAGTTCTGATAGAAACGTAATATCAATCCATTGTGCAGGTTCAAAAAGGGTTTTTGGAATAGTTTTCTGCGTAACCAGATCAAAAATAATATTTCCATCGAGTGGTTGAAAGTATTTTCGAGCAAGGTCAGACATATATCACTAACTTAAAAATAAATACCTCTGATTATGTGTCGCACACGGTTTGTATCTACTGTCAAAGGCAGCTGTATGCTGGTGAATTTCGTAGAGATTAATGAGCTTTCAAAATAGAATATTATAAAAAATTTAATCTATGTCAAATATAAATACCTCAGACGCACGTGTAATAACAGAGATACAGAGAGTTTGACTTGCTGCAAACTGCTGTCTGGCGTGATAACAGGGCTGGAAAACTAACAGCAAAACAAAATGGATACTTCCATGGTTCTGGTTTGCAGTCCAATATGATTATTCAATAAACAAAAAATTACTGTAATTGTTCCTTATCGTTTTGGTAACATAGTATAGTTCTCTTATGTGACACGTTACTTAAACACAAATATGCTGGCCAAGATCAGTTGCAATCAACCACAAAGGAGAAGTCATAGTCAAGATGCGTTAAAAGGCTTGCTGTATTTTACAATTTACTATTCAGTGATGTAAACGTTTGAGGAATTTCCAAGCAGTTGTTTGCAACTAACCATAATCAAATCTTGTCTTAAAGAAATGTGGCAATCAAACGCATAAGTAAAATTAATGAGAAAAGTTGAAAAAAGTCATGTATAAAAAGACTTCTCAAGACTCAAAATATAGCAAAAAAAACTCGGGATAGATTAAACGGGTATGTCAGCACCATTTAGTGTGTGTAGTAGTTTGGTTGGGTAAGAGTCACGTGGTTACAACGAATATGCATTGTGATCATCACATAACTACAGTGTTAATTTGCACCACAGGAAATAGCAGAATATATGGTTATTTAATTCACGGTGTTCTGTCCAGTGATAGGGCCTGAAATTCAACAAATTCCACTGCATATATGTGTAGTCGAAAATCAATAGTTTTAAAAAAAATCGATTTCTATCATTTTTATTAATCATCTGAAATTGGACATTTGACTCTAAATAACAAAGAAAGTGTAAGAAACGTGTGAGGATTCAATTTATTTTCGTGGTTTATACTTAAATCAAGATAATACAATCTTAGACAATGCAAAAATCACAACATACAATAAAATGATAGCTATTCAAAAAGATAAAACTGTTTTCGTTTTCAGTTTTCCTTCGAACAAAATTTCAAATACAGTGCACAATGATTATTGAAATTATCAATTAACCAAATTATTATTATTTGACCTAAATCGGTTTGATTGGCAATTTGACAAGTATTAAACGCGTTCGTTCTGATGGCTTATAGCTTTTTGGAAAGCTCATGATTCGTTTTTCTAGCAATTTGTACGCCCAGTGTACTAGCATTTTTCAGAGCTAGTTTTTTCTAAGGCTAACTGAAAATATTTTTTAATAGATTATTTTAATGTGTGTAGTATTTTTGCACTTTTTACGATTTCATTAGCCTAAAAGTATAATTTAAGAGAATTAATCACGCATTTCTTACATAGCTTTTTTATTCTTTAGTGCACAAAAAGCCAAAACAACATTCGGTTCTGTCTACCTGGCGTTTACGGATCCGTCAGAATTATATATCCTGTGCCGATATGGGGAATTCTGAGATATTACTAGATAATCAGCTGTAATTCTACCGAGATGGATAGTCGTGAAATAGAGTATACATAATACAGGATGAAATTAATTGCATTTTAGGGCCACTATGACACCCTGGAATTAATATAGCAAATTAACAGTAACTAAATAGATATGGAAGACTTAGATTTGTGCAGTTAGAAAACAGGTACTGACAGTGATCCCCACCAACAGCAAAACGTGTCACACTGATTTATTAGAAGTATATCTAAAATTTACTTTTTTCTACGAACTTGCTAATAGTCCCACTTTTCCGCACGCATTTCAGTTCTTAAAAATGTCATCCGGTGTGTCATTGTTAATATAAATGAAATGTATGACTTTCCGCACTTGTTAGGAAAATCACTGGAATCAATATCCAATATAAAGTTATATAAAAATCAAATTCACCTGAAAAACAAATATCAAAATAGAAAAACTTATTTTTTCTAACTCATCAATGTACATAAAACAAAAAAGCCCACTCATACATGTATGTATTGTACTAACCTGGTATGCTGAAAGAGAAAATGGTTCAATTATGTTATGTGGAAAGACACCTACCTATGTTGGTTGATCTTACTGGTCATTTTTAACGGCGACGGTGATGTCGATGGTGATGGCGACCTATAAGAAAAATAAAATTTTCCTAACCACTTAACCTTCCAGTGGAGTAGTACAGCATTGGTACTATAGGGTCGACGAAATGGGTCAAAGGTGGCCTAGTTGCCAAGCTTTGTCTCCCCACTACTACTAACCTTCCAGTATGTCTACCGCATCAGAAAACATATTCATGCAAATTTTGAAACCCTTATGTCAAACACTAACTAAATAGTAATATGTAATACTCAAGACAGTGCTAAAAGTCTATGGAAAGACATAAATTTTCCAAAAAATATGACACGTAAGCAGATTTGTTCATAGTACAGAACCTTTCAAAAGAGCTACTCAACAATATACATATGACTCATTGCTATTTATCAAATCAAATTCCAACAATCTATTTGTGAAATAGATATCTCCTTACCAGGATTTCGAGATCGTTCAATAGAACGCCGCTTCCTTTCCCTATCTAAACTTCTCTCTCTCTCCCTATTTTTGTCTCGATCACGTCCTCTATCTCTATCCTTACGGGATTCCCTATCTCTCTCCACGTCCTTCTCATACCTATCACCTCTATCGACTGTCCTCCTATCCTTATCTTTCTCCCTCTTTTCTCTATCACGTTCTCGCTCTTTTTCCTTATCTCTGCAACATAAGATGCACAAATATGAGTGATCACATACACAGCGTGTCTCGTGAATCACACTTCACTCTCAAAGAAATTGTTCAGAAAGTTCAGATAATTACCTATCTCCATTCCTATCTTTGTCTTTTTCCCTCTTCTCCTTTTCTTTATCTCGATCTTTTTCTCTCCTTTTTTCTCTTTCTCTATCACGCTCACGGTCCCTCTCAAAGTTTGCCCCCAAACCTCCCCTTACTGCATCTCTATCTTTTTTAGCAGTCTTCACCAATGATGTTACCTGAAGATAAAATGAATTATCTTCACAGTTCCAACTAAAATCGTTTATTCAACACATCTTATGCTTTTTTGTAAAATTTCAATATAGATATCTAACGCACTGTTTTCACCAAAAGAAGCCCAATGACAGTCTGTCTTCAACACGATGCCAACTCTCATGGTGGTTGAAACACCACTGCTCCAACTCCAAAAACGTGATGGTAAAGTACTTTTAATCACAAATCCAACTAAAGATAGCAGTGGCAGCTATTGTTGGGCAACTGGTCACTTTGCTATTTCTTTGGTGTCAATGCTACTATTTGAATACATACAGTAATGGACTATATGACTATTTACCTAAATACCTTTAGAAAACGAATTCATACTTCATTGCTCCATAAACAAATGCATTATTAGTAGAAAAACTAAATTCCTTGTTTTTAGATTATCTGCAAGTAATACAATACATGTCTGAATATAAGCACTTTTTATGAGGGACAAAAATATGTAGACATATTCTTTTCAACATTAGTTTAGTACAGTTTCGTGTCAGAAGAGGATTAGTTTGTGTTCATCAAGTATTGTGGAATAAGTTGAGTGATTTTAAGACCATGCCGTGTGGTCCAGAAATTTATTTCGATATGAAAACTAAGATCATTGAGTTATACAAAGATGGTCAACGTCAAGTCGACATTGCCAAAAATTTGAAGCTGAACTGTAAAGCAGTTTGGGCAATATTGAACAAATATAAACAAAAAGGTATCTTGGAAGCCTCTAAGACAAGTGGTCGGCCTAGAAAACTAAATGCTAGATCAGTTAGATTAATAAAAGTAATTTCGTGCAAAGATCTGTTCAAAACCCCAAGACAAATAAAAGCCAAAATCGAGACAAAAGGAATTGTCAGTGTTTCTACGGAAACCATAAGTAGAAGATTAAATGATTTGAAGTTATTTGTACGTCGCCCGAGTAAGAAGCCGCTAATCTCGAGGAAAAACCGTAAGGACCGATTACAATTTGCACGGTTGCATCTTCATTGGAGCATCTGTGACTGGAAGAGGGTATGTTTCAGTGACGAATCCAAGTTCAATATGTTTGGATCAGATGGTGTTCATTACGTTAGACGTACTAGACGTACTAGACAAAGATTGGACCCCAAGTACACTTTGCCCACTGTCAAACATGGAGGCGGGTCTGTTATGGTTTGGGGGTGCTTTTCGGGGTTTGGGATGGGACCTTGACATAGAATAGATGGCATTATGGATAACATTGTATACACAGACATACTAAAGCATGTCATGTTACCCTAAAGTGGAGACAGATTGATGAATCTTATATCAAGAAACTTCTACAAACTATACTGAGACGATGGCAGGCGGTGATTGATAATCAAGTAATTCAAATATAATTTTGGAAGATAAATGTAACAACTTAATTAGGAATATCAATACATGGTTTAACCAGTACTCACTTTACTTGAATCCTTCCTAAACAATGCTTATTCGTTTTCATCATGCTCAAAAAACTGTAGAAGGGTTTCAAGTTAGATTGGGTGATGATCAACTCGATTTTAGAGGAGAAGTGAAATTTCTTGGAGTTCATTTTGATTCGAACTTAAATTGGAAGGCCCACTGCGAATGTCTCACATCAAAAATGTACTCTCAAAGCTATGTGCTGAGGCAATTAAAAACCATCTTAACAGCTGATACAAGTTTATTTTGCTAATGTGTATTCGAGATTAAGATATGGAGTATGTTTCTGGGGTTGGTCAACGCGCTCTAAAGATGAATTTGTGTCTCAAAAAAGATGCATCCGATCGTTAGTAGGCATCTCACCAACAGAAAGTTGCAAAAAATATTTTATAAGATTCAACATTTTAACTGTCCCTTCGTTGTATATATATGAATTGTGCTTACATGTTTTTAAAAATAATGAAAAATTTAAGCGGAATTGCGATATGCATAATTATGATACAAGGACTTGTAATAATTTATATGTAAACTTCTGCAAATCAAAAGCGGCATTTCGATCACCTAATAAAATTGGTCCGCTTCTTTTTAATAATTTACCATGCCACATTACCTCGGTTAAAAATATTAATGACTTCAAGTTCCAGTTGAAGCAATTTTTGATAAACAAGTGCTTTTATCGTGTTGATGAATTTTTGAACATTGCAATTTGAGATTAGTTGTAGGTTTGTAGCGAACGAAAAATTGACAATTCCAATACAATTATATATTGTCTGTATGGAAATAAAGGTTATTGATAATATAGTAAAAAATATTAACACAAACATGGTTGGTTTTCTATAATTCAATGAACTATGCTTCTTTTTTCTATAATTGTTTTGCTTTGTCTATATATTTTTGTCCTTCATAGGTCCCGTTTTTTTTTCAATTAATTTTTAATTGAAGGGAGTCTAATGACTTTATTTATGTATAAGTGAGTATTATGCTATAACGAATTATGTATACAGGTTGATGTATTAATAAAACAAGTTAAAAAAGAAATACAGCACAATATTAATTTGTCTATATACTTTTGTCCATTACTGTATGTCAAGTCGAGTTGCAGTTGCCATTTGCTTTTGGTCAAAATGTTCTCTTGCAGCTGATATTTTTCAAAATTGTAAATTTGACCAGGTACTAATGATTGTAGTCTTTATTTTTTCCAATAATTTATTACCTCATCTATTGAAGCCCTCAGCCTAGCAAAACCCATATGCTGTTTTCCCATCAAATGGTCTTCTATTCGTTGCTGAGCATCACCAACAATTAGAAATGCTCCACATACTTGACAGACTTCCATCTGTTTTTCTTGGGCTGCTGCCATCTCAGCTGTTGCGTTCCAATGACTGCAAAAATTAGCAAGGTACAACAACAAAAATTCACATCGTATTTTATAAAAAACCACATTTTCCATTACCAATACTACCCAGCAATACTGCTTTCCTAACTGGACTAAGAGCAGAGGGCATTGGATTATTTTAAATTATATTCTGTCTTTTTTTATATCGACATGGCCATCTATGACTTCTAAATGTAGTCAAATGCCCAAAATAATATGTAAAAGATAACTTTCTAAGTAGAAACATTTTTGAGATTCAGCCCCTGGAAGTTAAGAGGATAAATGAGGATTTTTTGATAGATGTGCTAAAAACAGTATAGGTAGCAAAACAAATGGGTGAGTCTGCAGTTGTTTATTTTTATCAACTCTATATCACATGCTGTCAAAGCAAAGGTTAAATCCTTGGAAAGAAATATGTGAGTGTTATGGGGTATGCATTTTTTATACATGAACCACCATGAAGACCTAAAGCCAAAACATGCGAGGGTACCATGGGACTATAGGGGGATACAAAGGAAAGGGGGATGCCACACAGACTCTAGTGAAGGAACACATGTGTATGCAACATGCACACATTCTGGCACTGTCTTAGAGATCTGCCATGTGGTACCTCCTTGTTTGATAGTCAGAGACCATCTAACATTAATGGACAATCACAACATTCAAGCCAAGAGAATAATTCGTTTGGTATGGGGTTCGAACATGTACAGTGTATAGTGAATGACTAGTAGGCCCATAACATCTATCGCTCCATGTTTGCCTGGCTACTGAATGAAACCACATAATATATGCTTGAAATATTGAGGATGACGTTTTGTCCACAATGCTGGCCTGTTTCAAGAAGTACAATTGACAATTGTGACAATACATTGTTTGTCTTCCAGGTAACACATCATGTTTTTTCTTTCATTTTCACATTCCTATACAGTGTGTTACTACATTTTAAAAATAGACTGAGCTCATTTTTCATCAAACCTCTCAGTTCGATATCTTGAAAACATTGCTACAAAGCTTGATTTTCTACACAATATTTATATCTTCAATAACCCTATTATGGAATATAAAAGTGGTGTATCTAAAATTTCCATCGTCAAATGAACTGGGTTTTTATTGATATATGCTTACCCATTTTCAACCTGCTTCTTAAGATTTTCCCGCTCTTCTTTGAGCTGATCACATAGTTTCATTAGACCTTGGGCTTGCTCAACATTGCCCTCTGTCCCTGCTTGTTCAGCTTCAGCCTCTAACCCATTTATTCTCTCATTTAAAAGGTTAATTTGTTCTTCATTTTTTTCTGTTTGAGCAGGTGAGGAAGCAGGAATTTCATTAGCCTTCCCACTTAAAGCAAGCCTCTGCTTTCCTAAAATCAAAAATGGACAGGAAATTAGCAACATCACATTCTAAAGAAGTAGGATATTCCACTTGCACTAATACTATTATACCAAAACAAAATCTGTAGCAGTATCTAGTTATACAAACCTTTTACAATTTTTCTCTCCACATCATTCATCATGGATACACAGAAACGGAGAAAGTCTTCTTGATACTGTACTTTCCTATGATGAGTAGGCTTAGCATTCATGAAAAGTTTTTTAATTTCCTCATCATGGACCTTGGGACAGTGACCCAAATCTGCTCTAGTATTCACAAACAGATCATGAGGGCAAAACTTCACCATAAAGTACTTACAATACTGAAAATAACATTAGATACATTACATGAGCTTTTCCAAACCATAATACTAAAATGTAATTTCAACAATTTTATCATGACCTGTGGTTGCCTACTCTACAGCTGGAAATAATTGAAGGTAATGGTACACATATTTAGGGGTTATTAAAGGTTTAACATGTACATGACAGTGTGATATGTAATTCTGCACAAAAAAAATCTTAGAGAGCACTTTTCATATGGAAATTAGTACTTCCAAAATACAATTTTCCATAAATAACTTGACATCAAATAACAACACAAAACAAGTGACATGGGAGAATAGACCACAGGAGATAAATTATTTTTATGGTGCTGCATTATATTTTTAGTTCATTTGATATTATGTTGTTTGAGAAAGTACTGTTTTTGGTTATTCATTGTTTACATTATTTCAGAAAATGTTGTTTCAGTTTATTAGCCTATTTTTGTGAATTTTAAACAATTATATTTTAGTTCATCCATTTGTTGTTTTTTTTCCTATCAGTTCTACAAGATATTGTTTTAGATTATTTATTCACTCATTTTTAGCAAATATATCTTTTAAATTCTTTTATTTTCATTATCATATCTCCTGAGGTCTATTCTCAAATGTCACTTGTTTTGTATTTGAGGTCAAGGTATTGCTGGAAAATGGTATTTTGGAAAAACATTCAAGAACTTTTTTTGCAGAATTACTTACATATACCCTATGTCATGAGTTTCTGTCACAGTAGAATGCGAACTGATTATCTAGTCATATCTCAAAATTCCCCAAATTGGCAGAGGACACATAATTCTGTCAACACCAGGTAGAAAGAGCCGAATTTTGTTTTGGTTTTTTGAATGCTACAGATTCATTTTGTAATTGCTAACAGCTCTTTTATTTGTAAAAGTTCATTTGAATACAAAAACCAGAACGCCACAAACAAACTTTATTAGATTTATACCAGATCCATGATTGCCAATGTGGTAGACTAACACAAAACTGTCCCTTGCTGATCAGCTGTTTGCCTCAGTAGATGTCAAAGCATGATGGATACTCGTGAAATGTGTTATACTACACTTCTGCAGACACATGTTAAACCTGCAGTAACCCCTAAATACCTGGTACCATCACCTAATTGAAGAGGAGGGACAGACATAAGAAATAACTATATAGGTATATGACAATGGGATTATTCATTATTATAAGTAGGAGCTGGGTTTATAGGGTTGCAACATGATTATTACAAGTACACAGTCTAGAATAAGATCCTAGGTCATTGTTTTCTTTTTAATTAACAGGTGTTTTGGAGATTAAACGTACATTAAAAATGATTTGGAAAAAGCACCAGGGAGTGGGCACAATAATGAATTGTTTGATTTAAAAATGCCTTACCTCTGGATCTTCCCAGTTGAGCTCTTTAACTTTTTCATTAGGAGCAACGTTTCGATTCCTGCCCATGAGCTCATCCAAGAGCTGGGCTGCTGCTAACACAGCCATTTTATTACTTTAATTGGGTGCAGAGGAAAAATTTACTGGATCCGTTGAAAACCAAACACCACGAACAAGAAAAAAACTACAGCAAAAACCGTAATGACACTAATGACGAACACATCACAAAACAATAAGCATATGCACATGACAAAACGACATGGGACATGACAACAAACTGTCAATGATGTCAAATATAAACGATGCACTGTTGCCTCATCTCCGATATCTACCGTATACGTGCCGTCTACTTTTGTCAAAAAGGTTGTCAATTTGCTAAAACTTTTTTTTACTGATTTCACCGATTTATGGTAAATGAACAATTTTGACTTCACGTTTGTTCTTAAGTACCAATTTTGTCTTTTCGGTAGTATACCTTCTGTACAAACAACTGTGTGCAATTTGACAGCAAGCAGTTGAACCAGCAGAGAATTCTCTAAGTTTCATAAAACCGACAACGTTGCTGAGTTCAAATTTTATCTTGTATTCAATTTGAGAAATTGAGAAATTCAAAACAAATGTTCTATAAAACATACCCAATTTGTGGAACTGGGTTTGTTTTTACTTAATTCTGTTTGTATTTACTATATCATCCAAGCGGTTGAATTTTATCAAGGTGACTATTGACCGTACTTTTTGATAACCGCAATAATAACAGTCCAGTGTGTGACACGAGATGTAATTTTTTTGTCAGATGAAATTATGCTGAGTTTTATAAATGCACGTTTACCAAATCGAATTGTACAAGGTTTAACTGCAGCGTTTTTTCGAGGTAATGAGTTAGTTGTCAATGCTATTCTCGGAAAACAAAATAAGAATAACTATAATCAAATGAGTTATTTGTCTACAGTGTCTGCACTAAAAAACAACGGTCTTCGAGGCACACACAGCGATCAGTTTAGTGTCAAATTGAATAAAATGAAGATCACCATCCTACCAGCCCTTTCAGATAATTATATGTACCTTGTAAGTATCTTTGCATGTTAAACCACTGAAAAAGTATATTGCTGCCTGGCGATTCAAGTATGATAAAGGATTTACCTCACTGGGCGCTGTGTGTGTTCTGCAACCCAGTCAAAAAATACATCAGCTCGGGTATGCTACATGTATAATGATTGAATCTACTAATAGGCAACATTTACAATAATAAAGTGACAAAAGGAATAGGATGAGCTGGAGGCATTCATGCTCCACCAGTGCAGTAACTACATACTAATATGCCTATACTATAGAACAGAACTAAGTGTGCCTAGGTAGATACTTATCATATTTACTGTGAATCTCTAATCCACTTTTCTTAATCTGGCCAATATATGATGATAATCCACCATGCTTATCTGGCCAATAAAGCATGGGGGATTATCGTCAGTTAAACCACAGGATAAGTTTCAGTTGTTACACAACATGATGAGTTTACCACTTTAAAATTTATTTGATTTACACATTAAAGATTTTGCACTGTGAAATGTTTTTAATGATAATTTCAGTCTAAGATCATACTCACCTGCTGCATAAACTAGAGAGATAGTTTCCAGCATATTTTTTCTATCAAAACTTGCAATCTGAAGGTCAAGCAGATAATTACACCCTAAAACTGTGACAATAATAATTTTGAACATGGCATAATGTTTTTCCACACCCTGCCCTTAGAATGTAGCTATGCTTTTGCCATGGAGGTTAGACTTCTGCCAGGGATGAGGAAAATATCCTTCACTCTGTGACAGATTTTGACAATTTCATATGAATGTTTGGCCACATACTTTCAATATCTGGAATGAAAGTCAAATCCAAATTTCTTGGTTGTAAGATAAACAAAATTAAATCAGTTCTCTTTTCATGTAAGAGTTTCAAATATGCTTTTATCTAACACCTGACCAATAAATAGATGCAAGCAGTACATTTCAACTAATAGAAAACACTCCATTGGTAGTCTCAGCTTTTTCAAGTGTAATTTTGGGTAGTTACAAATTGCCTTTGATCAACCCAAAAATAAATGGACATATCTGAAAGTTCAATTTCCATTTTATTTTATGTTATCTAGATTACAGATGAACAGACAAAGCAGGCAGCAATTGTAGATCCTGTTGAACCTGATACAGTATTGAATGCTGTGAAAGAGGAAGGTGTAAACCTCACTAAGGTCTTAACCACACATCACCACTGGTAAGTGCAAAAACTCATCACTAATAAACCAGTATTTTTAAACTTTCAATTCCAAATTAGGGACCATGCTGGAGGAAATGAAGAACTGGTGAAAAAGTCCTCAACTGCTCTGCAAGTCTTTGGTGGTGACAAACGTATTGGCGCACTGACAAATGAAGTGAAGCATGGAGACAAGTTCTCCATTGGAGAGATTAACGTTGAGTGTTTATATACTCCATGCCATACATCAGGTCATGTCTGTTACTACTTGACTGCTCCTGGACAAACACCTGCTGTTTTTACAGGTAATAAAATGCAAACATTTTAAATATACAGGGTTACTGGTAATTCGTTGAATTCCTTCCAGAGCGTGATAAGGGGCTTATTTTTTTATTTTTGTGCTTTTAAAACAATCACCAGAAATTGGATAGGTCAGTCTGAATAATAATAAAAAACTGTATGAGATTTGAGTGAGCCTGCATTTCATTTTCATAGTTTGTACTCAAATTAACTGAGTATGATCATAAAAAGTGTGAACATGTTATACACAATAAAATATCAGCCATTCAAAAAAAAACTATAGTTTTTTTTTCAGTTTTCCCTAGAAAAGCCTGTTATTTGGAATGAAGACTGCATTTAATCTCCAGCTCCGTCTCCCTGTCATCATTTGCATAAATCCATCTTGTAAGATTGTGTTTAGCTCAGCAACTTTATAAACACAACATGTCTTGGAAATGTCATTTGCTTATACTGCTAAAGGATCAAAAGTTTTATCAAAAGCCATTACATAGGGGAAATCTAAAGCAATTTAGAATTTTTCTCATTATCAGTAGAAGTAGCAAGGGCTTGCATTTACGCACGCAATTGTCTCGCAGCAGCGTTCCTTGGTGTGATTGATATACAGATGTTTTTCTAACCCCATCTGTATGATAACACTGTCGAATAAGATTATCTTGAGACAAAAATCGCACGCATGAATAAGGGCATCTCTTAAGCAGAAATATGGCAAGCTACTTTATGTATCTTCAGTCAATTTCATGTAAACATCACAAAACAGAAATCTTCTGAGCACCTGACTTAGCAAACGCACCTTTTTTACAGGTGATACCCTTTTCATAGCTGGTTGCGGTAAGTTTTTCGAGGGAACTGCCGAGCAAATGTATTCCGCGCTGGTTGAGAAGCTAGGTGGATTACCTGATAACACTAGAGTCTTCTGTGGACATGAATATACACTGCAAAACCTGAAATTCGCTAGGCATGTGGAAAAGGACAACCAGGAGATTCTGAAGAAAATTGAACATGCGAACGAGTTGCGAAATAAAAACCTCCCAACTGTAAGTAGTTAATCCCCTCTTGAAAATAGAGGAGTACATACTAATAGAAAGCGGACGTGGTTCTATTACTTAGAGAGAAACTGTAGTCTTTTAACGTTTCCTTTATAGAAAATCCACTCCAGTAACATTCTCTTACTACATACTCCCACTTTCTGTTGGTTACTCTACTCTCTTGCTTTCTATAAATAACATCCTGGGAGGGATTAAAAGCCCTTTCCCATATTTTTGGATCACTTATTGGTTTCAGGTACCATCAACAATAGGCGATGAGAAGAAGTACAACCCGTTCATGCGTGTGATGATGGGTGAAGTGCAAAGTCATGCGAGTTGCAGTGATCCAATCGCTACCATGCAGTCTATACGAAAGGAAAAGGATAATTTCAGAGCATAGTTATATCTTTGATTGGATGTACCATTTACTAACCTGGTGATATTGTATATTTGTTAATGTTTTATATCTAAGTAAATTAAAAGTCAATTCGAATATAAGACTGTTTTATTCATACCTATATACCAATGCAACAAATGTTTACCTAGGATGTCCAACCAACATTTGTGGAATAATAACATGATTGTTTACAATATCGGAATGTATAAATATGGGAGTTATATAAAATAATATTCTTCAAATGCATTTCAGCGGTTTATACAGGTGACTAGTCTTCGACTAAAATTTTAACATGTTCGCGTCGTAGCCGATTTCCGATGTGTTAAAACAGCCGTAATATTTTTTTGTGTAACGTGTGAATATTTTTGTAATTGTGATCAATAATCTTATATGTACATAATTGTTTTATGTTTTTTGTCTTTTTTTTTTATTGTTTTTAGTCATGTACCACCGATGGTACACGACGGCTGTGATATATATTTATTGTTCAGGGAGTTCGTGTACCACCGGGGTACATGACTAAAAATAATATAAAACAAGAGTAAAAACATGAAATATGTATATAAAAGAATATTGATCACAAATGAAAAATCTACACTTAAAATAGCAAATTGAAGGTAATGCTAGAAACTATAGAAAACGGTGTACTTCCGGTCACGACAAATTACTTTAAGAAAGAGGGTCAAAAGGAGCATGTGTTTAGACTGTTTCAACGAAAAACATTCTGGAACTCTAGTTTCCTAATAATTTTGAGATTTGCATTTTTTTATTTGAAGTTCTTTCTAGTTTTGACTTTTTTCTGTTTTGATAGGTTATTATGCTAGGTTTCAGCGGTTTATTTTTGTACCTTGTAACAAAATAAGGTTGCTTGAATAAACTTACAATACGAAATATTCCTAAAATCGAGTTTATTTAGTAGGTAATCAAAAATAATTAAATAATAGACAAATATGATCGGACTTTGAACCGAATGCACCGCGGGTCATATACCAACTTTACGTACATACGTAACTTCTTTTCCAAGCTTCTTATGCAGCCGTGGCATATTAAAATAGGATTATATACAGGGTGCGGCAGAGAGGATGGACGGTTTTAAAAAAATCATAAAATAGTTAATTTTTACTCGAAAACAAATTTATTGATGGAATCAGGTTCACAAGGAAATAGCATTTGACACAGTCAAGTGTGGAAAATCACATCAGGCATGTTGTGGCCGAAATCGTTGATGCAGTGCTGGAGGCGTTCTTGGAAGTTCGCGTAGACTCTCTCCAACATCGCTCTCTCAACTTGGGCGACTTCCACGCGAATTTCGCCCTTCAATTCGTCCAGAGTTCGGGGCTTGTTCGCGTATACTCTAGCCTTGAGGTGTCCCCATAAGAAAAAATCGCATATGGATAAATCTGGGGATCGAGGAGGCCAATGAACATCGCCAAACCTGGAAATAAGGCGACCTGGGAAGAAAGGGCGAATAACGCCCATGGATGCTCGGGCTGCGTGGGCGGTCGCCCCATCCTGCTGGAACCAAACACGTCGGATTCGAACACGTCGCCGTCGTAATTCAGGGAGAAAGAACTTGGTGATCATGTCGACGTAGCGCTCTGAGTTCACGGTAACATCACGACCATTACCGTCTTCGAAGAAGTAAGGGCCGAGGATGCAAGTTTGCGATACAGCGCACCAAACCGTTACTTTTGGGCTTTGCAGCGGTCTTTCGTGTAAGTGTTGCGGATTTTCATTAGCCCAATAACGACAATTCTGCTGGTTAGGTAAAAGTGGGCTTCATCACTCAAAATGGGGTTCTGATTTTGATCGATCAGTGCTTCAATCTCACGTGCGAAGTTCATTCGTTGTGCATAATCTACGGGCTGTAACTGTTGCACAATGGCCAATTTAAAGGGGTGAAAGCGGAGATCTGTTGATCAGTTCACCACGCCTGCGAAGTGATTCAACCCAACGAAGGATGGTGTTTCGAGAGGGAACAGCTCTATTCCGACGAATGTTGAAGTGGCGACGAAACTCACGCTGTACGACGATGACTGACTCATTATTTCGGACGAAACAATCGTAGGCGAAAACGCGGTGCTCCACCGTCCAAGGCTCCATAACGACAACTGGTAAAATAATGCTAGGATCTCACGAGTCAAACGGCACCCTCGCCACCTCTCTCGTAGACGGAAGTGGAGAGTACTACCCATCCCAAAAACGTCCGTCCTCACTCCCGCACCCTGTATAAAGCGCACTGTGTACCACATGTGGTACACGACGTCGTGAACGTGCTAAGTAACTTTTGCCTCTGGTTACTAGTCGTATGTGGATGGTTCGATATATTTCAGAGGACTACCCACAAAAAATATCAACCGGGTTTAGATTGCATGCTCTCGTAAGAGCGGACGTTATCATTGCGAGAAGTGATGCGGGCATCAGGAAAACGTTTTTGTGGCAATTACAGACTTCCTCGTCATATGACACCTGGATCCATCTTAATAAAAGAACGTATTGTTCAAGTGCATATCCTATTGAGACCATGAAATATCCACATTTGTGGTAACGCTTGCCGTTTACCAACACCATTGTAGTTTTCATGAAAAAATGAGTGGATATTCATAGAACCAATCATATACACAACTCGGATGCATTCGCCTACTGTTAGGTAATCCAAAATTATGCTACAAATGTAGTAAAAAATTCCTAGGACACGTCGTTGAAAAATTACGCTAAAGTAACTATCGGCACACCCATTATTAAAACCTAAATGTTGACTAATTGCAATACATGAGCCTAAATGATATTATTATAAAGTCGTTCGGTAGAAGCAAATTAAGTATAAATGCTCCTCTTAACGTATTCTATAATCATTTTCATGACACAATATTATGACTGGCTAATTCAAGATTCTATACCGAACGCGAAAACCTAAGATTGGAGTCGTTCTAAAATTTTCAATTTTTCGCTTAAAACTGCACCGCCATAGTACCGATTTTCAAAATTCATAATTCATTTTCGTACATGAAATGGCAGTTACCTTGTGTAAAAATTTCATAAAAACATAAGTTTTAGAGAATCCAAGTATTACAGAACAAGTAACAGACCGACGGAGATGAGTGACATGATTTGTCGTGATTTACATATCATAGAACATCCAACACACAATATCTCGATTTCAAAGTGTTTAATAATAATACTACTTCCTTGCCAGCTGACTCGAGAAGAGTGAAACAGTGAAAGCGCATAAGAGGAGAAATATGTGGATATTCTTAAACTCTGAATAAGCTGTGGGCTTACACCACCTCGGAATATAGGCGTTCATTCAATAGCACAATTTATCGATATTCAATAAGAGTATATCTTCGAAGTTGAGTCATTTATTTTAACAGTGAGTAGATCTGATCAAAAGAAATGTTTTTTTCCTTTACCATTTTTCTGGTAAAATTAAAGTAACAAAGTTATAGCCCTTTGGAAGTTTGAGTACCGCCCTGTCTCAATAATAATATCATGTGCTCGTGTTTGGCAACAACGGATATAATCCGCCTTATCGGTTCATCGCATCGGAAACAAAAAAGCGAAAGAATTTGGAACGATGTTTTTACAATTATTTTATTCAGTTCAGTTATACATACAGTCACTGTCAGTCGGTAACGCGTGTGAATAGTGTCTGTTGCGTGGCTCAAACGAAATAAAAAATGGCACATGTTCATGCGGATCAGTTTCCCAATCGAGTGCAACCAACCCCTCGTGCCTTTGTTAATGTAGTACAACGGGCTCGTGAATCAGGTGACTTAAGACCTCACAGGGGACCTCACGATCAAATACAGGTCCGCACTGAAATACTTGTCGGGAGGATACTTTATAAAACAAGGTAAAATTTTTTTTAATTTTTTTTTTATTTTTACACACATATTTTGGTTTATCTTCCTTCTACAATCATTATCTGAAAATTAATGACTCAACTTCAAAGTCACCCTGTATATATAACAACAAGTAGGAAAATAATGGGCAAAATCTGAACATATTCTCTTTGTAGATCCTTTGGGCTTGAAGTACCACAGCAAGTGGCTATAACCGGCCGCGTGGTTGTGGTTAGACGTCTCCTTGAAAATTCGAGGTCGTATAGCCATTTTATACTACAATGTGTAGGTTGGCTCTTGTGGTGGACTTCGTGTGTCGTTTTTCCCCCTCCAACTTCGTTTCCTCAGGTTACACCCGTATCCGGATGTGTGGGCATGTGTATCTACTTTTGTAGTTTCATATGTGCATTCATTTCGGGCCTGATGAAGCCAACCAGCAGAAATACGTATCGCTCGGGTTACCTATCCTATTTTCTGCTCGAATCCACTTTCCTCCTTTTTGCGGATTTTGCCCATTATTTTCCTACTTGTTGTTATATACCTTTCTCCGCATGATCATATTCTCTATATATATATATAATACAATTATTGTTAATTGGGAAATTGGTGGCAAACTTTTTAGGCTTTAGTAAACTCTTTTAACGGTAATCTCAAGCTTTCGGCATTCTCCATGGAGCCTTCCTCAGGAGCAGAAAACACAATTATGATGCTAGCAACCAATACAGGAAAGATTTAAATTGTCAAACAACTTACTCGTCGTTGAGGTTGCAGCCAAATGGTGTTTCAAAACGAACCCGGGGATGAGAGCACTTGTTACAAATATAAAGTGAAACGGACGGACACATTGGGTTTATTGATAACGATGGTTTCCGCTGTTCCCGCGTTCGTTTTGAAACACCATTTGGCTGCAACCTCAACGACGGGTAAGTTGTTTGACAATCTAAAACTTTCCTGTATTGGTTGCTAGCATCGTAATTGTGTTTTCAGCTCCTGAAGAAGGCTCCATATGAATGTCGAAAGCTTGAGGTTACCGTTAAAAGAGTTTGCTAAAGCCTAAAAAGTTTGCCAATTTTCCAATTAACAATTAATTGTATTTTTTGCCCAACTGGTCGTTGGCAATGACAATAACTACTGCACATATACAGGGTGACTTCGAAGTTGAGTCATTTATTTTAACAGTGAGTAGATCTGATCAAAAGAAATGTTTTTTTCCTTTACCATTTTTCTGGTGAAATTAAAGTAACAAAGTTATAGCCCTTTGGAAGTTTGAGTACTGCCCTGTCTCAATAATAAGATGTTCGTGTTTGGCGACAACGGATATAATCCGCCTGACCGGTTCATCGCATCGGAAACAAAAAAGCGAAAGAATTTGAAACGTTTATCACGATGTTTTTCGTCAGTCGATAACGCGTTAGTGGATAGTAGTGTTTATTGCGTGGCTCAAACGAAATCAAAAATGGCACATGTTTACGAAAATGCTGAACTTGTGGACATGATTCTTATTTACGGGGGGGCAGTCTTTACAAAATGCTCCCGGATGCATCACGGATTTATGCGAATCGGTTTCCCAATCGTGTGCAACCAACCCCTCGTGCCTTTGTTAATGTAGTACAAAGGGCTCGTGAATCAGGTGACTTAAGACCTCACAGGTCAGGGCATGCTGCTCCAAGACCGCACGATCAAATACAGGTCCGCACTGAAATACTTGTCGGGACGATACTTTATTAAACAAGGTAACATTTTTTTTTATTTATTTTTTTATTTTTACACACATATTTTGGATTATCTTCCTTCTACAATCACTATCTGAAAATTAATGACTCAACTTCAAAGTCATATATATATACAGGGTGTCCCGAAAAAAGTGTGCAATATTCTACCAGCAGTTTCTAGAGCTTAAAATAGGAAGAAAAGTTTATATAAATATAGGTCGACAAACGTGTCCTAAGGGCGCTACGGTCTTTTAAAGGGGCTCCCCTGAAGATGGTTGTTCCTTAATATTTCCGAAACGTGTTGAAATAAAGACATAAAATTTGGTATTCTAGCCTAGTTTTTTATGCTGGATTTAAAAATATTAACAATTTTAGACAGTTTTGTTTGTAAGCGTAGGTAACAGGGACGGACTCAGGTTATTTTAGCCCCAAAATTTTTGTGTGATTCTATTTTTAAAATTCAATTTTAGAATTTGAAAATTTAGGGTTTTCTTCATAAAAAAGGTACTCTTATTGATTATCGATAAATTGTGCTATTTTTGAAAAAAATCAAACTAAAGAATTTGTCACATGCTGGGAAATGTACTGCGAATTTAAATGAATTGTTGAATAATTAGCCATGGCAACGAAAAAACTAATTTAATAATTGGTAAATATTACATAAATACATATTTCTATTGCAACATAGGCAAAAGGGCAATATTTTATTATATGAGAACAAAATAAGTACGTGGCATGTATAATTAACTAGTGTAATAATATTAAAGAGTCAAACATAAAAAACTTCAAACAGAACAGAAATTACCTTTTAAGTGCAATCTGTACTCGTATAGCTAATATATTAGGTACCCAGACTTAGATCTGTCACAAGTCGCAATACTCGTATATACGTATAAATCGTAAGAATTGTGCTGTAAACAAGTGATGTCAAAGAGGGTCAGCATTTGGAATACCAAAGGATACCAAAAAAATCGCAATGCTCAATACCTATATCTATAACTTATAGTTAGTATGCTTCTGTCGCCATGATGTGTCAGAAAGTAACACAGTGGTGTTAGATTACAAAAGCCCCCCGCGCCCTCCCTCTAAATCCGCCCCTGGGATCTGGTAATATCAAAGGAACATGATGAATACTTGGTAAAATTTTTACGTCGTCACGGTACCACCTGGACATTTGTTTATCCACCAGTAGGAAATATTTCTTCAGTTCGAGAACAAGATATTATTTTGAAATTACCGTTTCCAAAAAATGAAGGTGGAACCGAAAGAGTTAAATCTACTGACATTTGGTCTGGACTTATGTTACTATGAAAATGTTCGTAGATTTTCTTTATTATTGTCACTATTCTTTTTTTGATAATTAATAGACAGTTTTCGTTGTTGATTCATAATTAACAAACTCGTTACGTTGTAGATTTTCTTTATTTCTTATTTCTCCAACAAAGAATAAACGTTCCGGAAAAGCTTACAATGTCTCAGTGCTCCGAACCTCGAATTTTCAAGGAGACGTCTAACCACAACCACGCGGCCGGTTATAGCCACTGGCTGTGGTACTTCAAGCCCAAAGGATCTACAAAGAGAATATGTACAGATTTTGCCCATTATTTTCCTACTTGTTGTTATATATATATACAGGGTGACTTCGAAGTTGAGTCATTTATTTTAACAGTGAGTAGATCTGATCAAAAGAAATGTTTTTTTCCTTTACCATTTTTCTGGTAAAATTAAAGTAACAAAGTTATAGCCCTTTGGAAGTTTGAGTACCGCCCTGTTCAATAATACTCGTAATATCATGTGCTCGTGTTTGGCAACAACGGATATAATCCGCCTCGGTTCATCGCATCGGAAACAAAAAAGCGAAAGAATTTGGAACGATGTTTTACAATTATTTTCTTCAGTTCAGTTATACATACAGTCAAAGTCAGTCGGTAAGGCGTGTGAATAGTGTCTGTTGCGTGGCTCAAACGAAGTAAAAAATGGCACATGTTTATGCGGATCGGTTTCCCAATCGAGTGCAACCAACCCCTCGTGCCTTTGTTAATGTAGTACAACGGGCTCGTGAATCAAGTGACTTAAGACCTCACAGGAGACCTCACGATCAAATACAGGTCCGCACTGAAATACTTGTCGGGAGGATACTTTATAAAACAAGGTAAAAATTTTTTTTAATTTTTTTTATTTTTACACACATATTTTGGTTTATCTTCCTTCTACAATCATTATCTGAAAATTAATGACTCAACTTCAAAGTCACCCTGTATATATATATATATATATATATATAACTGTAAATAACAAAAATAGGATAGCCACACAAGTTTTTTCTTTAGCGGCATTACTTTTATTTATCATTGTTATATCAGTTTATGAAACAGTACTTGGAATTGTTTTTCGACAAATAAAAATTGTTATTATTAAAATAAATATGTGCGAGATTTCATCTATACTAAGGTATCATATGTTTTGTTAGTTTCCGATGCATTTTACTTGATTAATAGTCGTATCCTATCTACAAAAACAAAACTGGATAATGCGCAATGAACGAACAATAAACACATATTGTCATTAGAACTAGTTTATCGCAATTAGTCAAAGAGATAATTCCCCTCTTTTCGTCTCGATCAGACAGACAGCTGCAAAATAATAGCGAAAGATAAGCAAATATTTCAGCCTTATTTTATTGGTTGTGCACAAGCCAGTGCGATCCAGATAGTGCTTTCAGCCAGATAGTTTTTATAACCTTCACTGCTGAAAAAGGCTTGAATTTACTTAAGCGTAACATATTAATTATTGCGATTAACACATAATCACCATAGCAGAAACCGTCGCTATACGAGGTATGTTCCAATTCAAATGTTTACATAACATTTTTAAAATTTTTACGAAAGTACGGGATATTTGTCGCTTTATATATTTTTCTAAACATCCAAGACCTTCCATAAAGTAATAAAACATACGTTAATAATATTTTATAATGTAAAAGGTGTCCAGAAATAAATTAAAGGATAATCCTGCGGTTGTAAATGTATCACGTCATGACCTATTATTTGGCAAAATTGTTTAACGACTACCTTGGTCGAGCCTGGTCCAATTTTGGAACCCATTTTATTATCCTTGGTGAGCTCGGCTTGATATACAAATTTTATAAAAAAAAATAGTGAATTTAGGTCCAGCAAAGGCAATGAAATAAGGCTGCAGCGCCAGATTCATCTTTGTATGGATGTTTGATTGATGTGGTCTCTATCTGGAAGCATATGGAATAAGGGGACATTGGGACAGGGCATTCCAGTGGTTGACATCATACTTAAGAAATAGGTGACAGAAAGACAAAATAACTAAGAATGGTAAAGACTATTTTTCAAGTCTTCAGGAAAACAAAACTGAAATTGTTCAGGGCAGTATTCTTGGCCCTTTATTATTTATTCATCATGTTTCTAAATGACCTGGAATTCATTAAAAGCTCAGAGAACAAATGTGTGACTTGTTATGCTAATGACACTAATTTACTGAGGATTTTGAAGTATCGGGAGCAATGCCTTTCTCAAGAGCAAAAACGTGGTTTTCAGATAACAGGTTACTACGTAATGAAACTAAAACTAATGCATTAATGTTCATAACAAGACAAAATAGAGTTGATAAGACTGCAACATTCAGCTTCGGGCAGTCAGAGTTTCAATCTGTTTGCAATACAAGACTTCTTGTTGTTCATTTAGACGAATTCTTGGGATGGTCACACCACATCTCTGAGGTATGTCAAAAATTAAATTCAATTTGTTATGGAATCCGGGTAGTTGCGAGGTACGTATATGAATGAAAAAATATATAATTTATATATTTCTAATAGTATATACCTACGGGTCCTTAGGATAGTCAAGAATATGGGATATAAATATAGTTGTGTAAAGGTAATTTTAGATCCAATGACCTCTTGACAGCATAGTTATTGACTGTACGTATATGAATGTTTCATATTCTTTTTTCAGAACAGATATATGTTTGACCTACAAGTGCATCATAACTGGAACAAGAAAAATTAAATGTAAATTATCCTAGGCATAGACTAAGTTTAACTGAAAAGACTTTCATATTACGCATGTCTGAAACGTTTCAACTGTATACCAAACACAATAAAATTGATAAAGAATGAGAACATTCTAAACGGGAGGTCAGGAGGCACTTAATTAATATACAGGGTGACTTTGAAGTTGAGTCATTAATTTTCAGATAATGATTGTAGAAGGAAGATAAACCAAAATATGTGTGTAAAAATAAAAAAATAAATAAAAAAAAAATGTTACCTTGTTTAATAAAGTATCGTCCCGACAAGTATTTCAGTGCGGACCTGTATTTGTACGTGCGGTCTTGGAGCAGCATGCCCTGACCTGTGAGGTCTTAAGTCACCTGATTCACGAGCCCTTTGCACTACATTAACAAAGGCACGAGGGGTTGGTTGCACTCGATTGGGAAACCGATTCGCATAAATCCGTGATGCACCCGGGAGCATTTTGTAAAGACTGCCCCCCCGTAAATAAGAATCATGTCCACAAGTTCAGCATTTTCGTAAACATGTGCCATTTTTGATTTCGTTTGAGCCACGCAACAAACACTCCTATTCACTAACGCGTTATCGACTGACGAAAAACATCGTGATAAACGTTTCAAATTCTTTCGCTTTTTTGTTTCCGATGCGATGAACCGGTCAGGCGGATTATATCCGTTGTCGCCAAACACGAACATATTATTATTGAGACAGGGCAGTACTCAAACTTCCAAAGGGCTATCACTTTGTTACTTTAATTTTACCAGAAAAATGGTAAAGGAAAAAAACATTTCTTTTGATCAGATCTACTCACTGTTAAAATAAATGACTCAACTTCGAAGTCACCCTGTAGAGTTATACTACACGGTGTCCGTAAAGTTGAAGTTTTCCTTTTCAGACACAATTACGCTTGATATCACAAAGCTAATGTGAGCGAACAAGTAAAAAAAATAAATGAAAAAGTACTCACTGTTCAGTTGAATTGAAATTCCAGATACGGCTCTGTCGAAAAATCCGTATCCACATCGTAGTCGTACGTCGTATAACTGTACGCTCGCGCTGTGGACGTGATCGAGGGATAGGACAGGACCGACTTCGGTTTGGTTCAAGTTTGATTGAGTTTGTGGAGCCCAATACCTCGGTTCTCTTAAGACATTGGTGTCTTTGTGGACACCCTGTATAGTGTAAAAGACTATCAGAAGTATATATTGTTTTTATTTATTTACTTATGTACCTGGCCGAGTGTGATGAGCCGGAGTATTATCATATTACACGCCTTTTTCACTTACCTCAAAGTATAAAACATTGAAAATGATGCCAAAACCTAGGTGAGGGTATAAGATGGATCTGGACTTACTATGCAACAGACTGTTTAGAATAAAATTTGCTGGAAAATAAGTCTCTTCCATTTTTACGACAGCTCAGCTTAATGGTTCTTGAAGTATAAAGACTGAAAGAAAAATTCGAATCCAAACAGTCTCGGGACATACCCCGCTTGATACGTACCTCGTCAACGTGTCGCATACAACATTATGTTACGTGAGAATAACTCCATTTTCCTATGATCAAAATTACTGAATTTTTTCACTACCATACGTATGGAAAATATAATATTTTCGTTTCAATTCTGCTGATGTCATCGTCAAAATCCAAGTCATTTACTTCCATAAGTCACACGGTTCTTCTACTCCGCAAAACAAGATCCCTTGAGGTGATTTTCTGTGGAATGTTTTTACTGGCAAGAAACTCGTTTACTCACATTTCTGATGCAACACCCAGTTGTTCGTGATCTGATGAACGGTGGTATGAGTCAAACTTAACTGTTCTCCAACCATTCTGACTGCGTACCGAGGATCTGAACTCACAAGATCCCGGATTCTGTCGATATTTTCGTCAGTTCTTGAAGATGAAGGCCTTCCGCTTCGTGGTCTTCAATCGACTCTCTCGCTTCTGAAAGCGCCTTCAACCGCCGAGACACCTGGGCTCTTGACAAAATAACTAACTCCGTAGGCATGCTGCTCATTTTTAGAACACAATAGAAAAAACTGTTTCACAAAAAAAATTACTACAACCAAAAGACTCGAGCGAATTCAAACTTGTACTGAAGGCATCACATGTTCCTCTGTCTCCCCTCTAAGCCTGACGCTTCCAGTGTTGTCAGATCGAACGCTACGTTGCCAGTGTCATGACTTTATTTACAGACCTCGTATCATTACATGCAGCTTTATCCTTCAATTTCTCGTAATCTGTTAACTATATGGAAAAGTTTTATAGAAGCAAAATGATAAACATATCAATTCCCTAAAAATTGTTTGTTTTCTTTTTTTACATAGGATCGGTAGCTTACGAGCTATTTGATCAAACGCGTTTACTGGTGCTTCCTACATTCCAGGACGAGTCTTTCGATCACAATACTACTTTCCGCACTCGTGGAAGTGAATGTTGTAACTATTAAAAAGTGTATAAGTTTCAGCAAACTAAAAAAATATTTGCCGAATACAGACAGACGGACAGACCGATAGAGAAGCCGACAGAACAGACATTATAGCGTCGGACGTCATGGATCTTTGTGATATAACGTAATAACGTTTACGCTACTCCCACGCTTGTTAGTATAAAATAAACTGCTGTTTCTGGACAAGCCTGGTACAATAATCAAATTCTATCCACAATAAGAATTTTTCCTTGTAATATCTACTTTCTCATCTTAAATTCTAGACTTCAGAGCACTGGAACGGATTTTCGCGAACATACCGAATTTTATCAGAGTTGTGCGTTTAGCTGAGAGGAGCGACACATACGCTATAAATACCAGCATCGGGTTCCAGAGAGGCAAGTCTGACAAACAGGCAAACGCACACCAACACAACTTTGGCACAGTCTGAGAGTATCGTGAGTGAATTCAGAACGAGGTGGTAATTTTTTGTGGCTCTTCATTTGGATGATGCATTGCAGTGGAAATATTGATCTTTGGAGGTGAGTACAGTTGCGGGAGCGGTGGCGGAAAGTTTTTGATCATTGTGTAAAGTTCAGTTTCAAAAGCCTGTAAGTATAAATATGTACACGTAGCTTACTTATAGGGACAGGCACTGATGTGTTGTTGAAAACAGTAGACAGTGGTGTGTGTGCGTGTAAAATTGGAAAATGATATCGTCGTTGTTTTGACGTAAAAACTGCTTCCAAACACAGGATTTTTCGTCAAAAGAACGACGATATTTTGCTCATACGTAATGATGGAGTCCAACACATGCCTTGATACCCAGCATTCTAACAAATGTCCATTTCCAAATAACATACACATAAAAATCTTAGTAGTAATACTTTTTTGTCATACTCATAGTATCTGGCACATTCAGGCGACATCAAACGCTGTTAAATCTAACATCAGTTTTCTGAATGCACTCTTTGTTGTAAATCAGGAACATTTAAAAGCATTTAATAAAGCACAGCTTTTTTTTACTCATAATTAACGAGACTTGTTCTTGTATATGGTGTTAAGAAGGTCAAGAAATCCTATAGAATCAAAATCGGATTCACCGCTTATAATGAAGGATCGTGCTTGTGCTAACATGAAACAATGTTGACAAACGAAATTTGATGTTTGATTTGCGTTTCTTTGTTTCTGTCACGTACCTGACAGAATGCTATAGCAGTATGCGAGCTCTATTTACTGAATAAACTTCAAATGGGGCATTGTAATACTTTTCAATAAATTAGACAGTCTGTGTTTTAGAACGATTAATTTTGGTCAGCCACTGAAGATCTGCCCATTCTAGTACCTCATTCGCTTCACTTTCTCAGAGCTTATCTGCTTAGAGATACGCTTTAGTTGTTAGAACAAACAAGAAGGGTAAGTGTATCAAACCAAAACTTAAGGAAAACCGGTCATTATAGCTCATATCAGTGAGATGATATTTTCAAGTTAATGGCGCACCTTAAAAATGGTTTTGAGATTTTAGAAACCAAGAAGAAAAACCTATGAATTAATTTATAGGAAAGGCTTTTGAGCTTGCGAAATACTTTCTAGAAAATCCGCATCATGTTGATGTCAGTATTCTCATTAGGGTAAATCCCTTGGTTAGTCGCACAACAAATCAAACTACGTGTAACTTAATACTACGCTCAGGCTAGAATGCAAATTGTACGCCAGGAGTAGCATAATTATCCGGAAGTAAATTAGGAAGTATCGCCTTTTCGATGAATATAAGAGCTGACGGCAGGGTAATGAATGGTATCCCTGAGGGAATATTGAACGAACCCAACTATTTTAGAATCATGAAGTAAGGCGCTATTATGCCAAATGTGTGGAAGCATGAAGAAAATTTAGTTCAACATTTCTCAACGACGGAAAAGCAAATCCATAATATGCGCCAATTGCCGGATGGATGACACATTTAACTCATAAAACGGTGCTCCACATGTAGAGGATGCGACAGCATTTTTTCAAAATTCAATAAAACCCACTGTAAGAATCAGAATATTTTTGTTTTTTATAATGTAGGCGCATGCCTAAAGTTGTGTTTTACATAGTTTTGAATATCATATCAGATAGGTGATGTCCTCATACTCCATTTACTCTGAGTAAAGCGACTTCTGGCGTTTGCCATGACTCTTTCCAGCTTAGCAGGCGTTATGCTGACAATTTCTTCCTGAATGTTGGTCGCCAAACCTTGTAGTGTCCTTGGGCGGTAAACATGGGATTTAAAAAAGAACATAAAAAAATTACAAGTGGCCCAATCCGGACAGGATGCCGGGAACTCTAAATCGCCCCTAATTGAGATTAGGCGCTCTGGGAAGTGTTCCTCGAAACAGCCATCGATGCGTTTGAAGTATATGCCGTTGGACCATTTTGCTGCAACCAAATGTCCCCTAAGTCCAAATCATGTATCTGAGGAAAAAATCCTGTAACGTGTTAACATAAACGGTCTGAATTCACTGACACTGCGACTTCATTTTTCTCAAACAATCAGGGACCCTCAATTCCGGCTGAAGAATGCAATGTTCGAGGATTGGTATCAGCTCAGTAGCGCACGTCGTAAAAGAATATGTTTGGTACAAGTTAGCCCTTCTTACAAAAAGTTATCTACGAACATGTATAACAAAAAAGTACATGACCTTCCTCCTCCCCTGAGAGGAACTCCTGCAAGAGCAAATGATCGTTGCGATAACCAGTCCCGCGTGATATTGGCCTTCTCCATCATGCACAGTGCACGCAGGCCACAGCAGTGCGAAAGCAATTGCCGGCTCTGACGTACGACCAATGACGCCGACCTACAAAAAACGTTCCAAAAATGATCAGGATCTTTTGAAACGTGAAAAAAAAACGAAGCTTGAGCGAATATTGTTTTTTTTTATTTTTAGCTTTTTTCTCCGCTATTACTAAATCGATTTTCAAAAACTACAAAGCGTTTGCTTCCTTGATATAGTGGATAACATTGTGTAAGCATTCCATAGAGATCCGAGAGGTACTTCTTAAGTCATAGGCGCAGTTCACATTCCGTGCTCTTCCACTCAACCTTACAAAGATACAAAAAAAAATTGTACAATTAATAAAATAATGAAAATAAACGTTGAATGTTTAACCTAATCAATTGAAGAATAAAAATTGAATTTATAAGTGATGACATTACATTCTTGCTGCTTTTTTAAAATAAAAGATTTAATTGTCTTCTTAAATGGGACTTCCTTCAACCACAGAAACTCCTGAAGGATGTTGTTATATTCCTTTGCAATTTGGTAGCTGAAACTCCTTTCATATACAGGGTGGCGCATCGAAAACGAAACAGACGCATTTACTGGCAGCTCAGTTTTTTTTTGAAAAACGCTCAAACCCATCGATTTTGTTTTCGAGGGGGACACCTTATTTTAAAGGTATTTCAATTCCCTTTATAATGATATAAAATTAATGTACCTCAGTTCAGTAGTTTTGAAGATTTATTGATTTAAAGCTTAAATAAAACTAATGCATCATCATTAGTGGAGATCAATACATTTGGCAGCAAAGTAATTTAAAAATAAAGAATGAACTGACCGGTTAGGCAAGTAAATGTTGAAAATGGCCAGCATGACTCTCCATGCAATAATAAAGATTTTGCTCAAAAGGTTGCCGCACATTTTGCAATATTTGAGGAGTAATTTGAAGGCACTCATTCACAATTCTTTGTCGCAGGTCTTCTAATCATGTTGGGTGAGTAGCATAGATTTTGCTTTTTAAATGACCCCACATAAAGAAATCCAAAGGTGATAAATCTAGCGATCTTGGGGGCCATTCAATGGCACCTCTTCTACCAATCCATCGATCTGGAAACGTCTGATCTAAATATTGTCGAACACGTAATGCGTAATGTGGTGGGGCACCATCCTGTTGGAACATCAACCTATTCGCAATGTACCGCCGATCATTCTGATTTTCAATTATGGCTGTTAATGCAGGATCTATGGCGTCTTCCAGTAATTCCAAATACATTTCACCGGTCAAATTTCCAGGTAAGAAAAAAGGACCAACTAAATGATCGCCAAAAATACCAACCTAAACATTTAATTTTTGTGGCTGTTGTGTATGAACCTCATGATAAATTCTGGGATTAGAATCGGACGAATATCGGCAGTTATGACGATTTACTACGCCATTTAAGAACAAAGAACATTCGTCGGAAAAGCATGTGTTGAATAGAAAATGTTCATCGTTTATAATTCGTTCACTCATATCTTCACAAAATTGTAATCGCCGATCAAAATCGTCTTCATTAAGTTCTTGTACCAGGTGAATTTTATACGGATGAAAACTATGGGCCTTTAGAATCCGTTGGACAGTGCGTCGACTAACACCATACACAGTCTCCAATTTGCGGGTACTTAACGTAGGATCTACATAAACTTGCCCTAAAACCTCCACTTCTATTGCTTCGTTCCTTATGGGATTTTCAATGTTGCGTTTTCTATTGGCGACTGACCCAGTTTCCTGAAATTTAGCTACAAGTTCTAGAACATATTTTCGATGCACGTTACTGTTCTCATGTCGCTCTTTAAATATTTCTGCTGTTCTATTAGCGCACTGATTATTTCCGCAAAATATTTCGATAATTTCAACTCTTTCTGCAGTGGAATATACCATGGTTAATTTATGTAATAAAGCGTTACAAGTTATTTTAGCAACAAAGTTTTGTCAAATCAATCGCAAACTATGTACTAAATTCCTATTTAAAATAAGTACGAGATATTTCCTTATCTTTCTTCAAGAAATAACTTTTTGCCACAAAAAAAACGCCCCAATAGCTATTTTCAACAACAAAATGATAAGTAAACCATGGGCGTAGTGAATAAAAGCATTTACTTATTAAGTAAATTCTTTTAGTCAAATTTCTTCTGAAAGTAGTACAAACTAATCTGATGTACCTATTAAAGTCTACTTTAAGCTTTAAATCAATAAATCTTCAAAACTACTGAACTGAAGCTCATGTATTTTACATCATTATAAAGGGAATTGAAAGACCTTTAAAATAAGGTATCACTCGACCCCCCTTTCCATTTAAGATTTTAGGGTTGGTGTCACCCCCGCCCAGGGGGCTGCAGGTGAAACGTGATTTTTTGCCAAACTTCTGTCCCCCTCGAAAACAAAATCGACGGGTCTGAGCGTTTTTCCAAAAAAAAAACTGAGCTGCCAGTAAATGCGTCTGTTTCGTTTTCGATGCGCCAACCTGTATAGTGGTTCTATGGGTAGGAGGAGTGATGAGAACTTTGGATCTAATATTAATATTCTTCTGTTCAAAATTTATTTTTTTTATAAAGGAAGGTAGGTCTCTTTTGTGTAATAATTTGATTATACAAGGTAATCACAGACATTTTGAATCTGTTTCTCATATTGATTCATTTAGTTTCTGAAAATTTTTCCTAAATGTGATCATATTTTCTTATACCATGAATAAACCTAACACAAGAATTTTGAACAATTTGAATTTTTCTGTGACTTTCTACATCCAAACTGCTATGGTATATAGGCGAAATTCACGAGAACTGTGACAATAGGTACAAGACTTTCACATAAAGTGTCATAATTTAAATATTAGCGATGGGCATACAGGATCCTGAGTGAAGAATAGGCATTTTTTATATTCGTAAGCACCTATTTTCGGAAACTCAATTTTTAATCGAGTATTAACCGAAGGTTATTTCCTTCTTCTAATTGTCATTATCTGGTTCATATGAGGTCGTCGACAAACTGCTTTTGTGAAATCGGATATTTTTTAACCATCCTGTATAGTTGTAGTTGTAACAATACTTTCAGGATTTCAAAAAAGTGATTTGATTTGTCGGTGACCTCAAATATCAGCATCTCAAAGCCTACACGATTCTGTTGCCCCAAAAAGAAGTTACTGTTTGAGTTTTTGAACTAGACCTCCAAATAACATCTAAGGTCATTATCTATCACTCGACCCCCCTTTCCATTTAAGATTTTAGGGTTGGTGTCACCCCCGCCCAGGGGGCTGCAGGTGAAACGTGATTTTTTGCCAAACTTCTGTCCCCCTCGAAAACAAAATCGACGGGTCTGAGCGTTTTTCCAAAAAAAAAACTGAGCTGCCAGTAAATGCGTCTGTTTCGTTTTCGATGCGCCAACCTGTATAGTGGTTCTATGGGTAGGAGGAGTGATGAGAACTTTGGATCTAATATTAATATTCTTCTGTTCAAAATTTATTTTTTTTATAAAGGAAGGTAGGTCTCTTTTGTGTAATAATTTGATTATACAAGGTAATCACAGACATTTTGAATCTGTTTCTCATATTGATTCATTTAGTTTCTGAAAATTTTTCCTAAATGTGATCATATTTTCTTATACCATGAATAAACCTAACACAAGAATTTTGAACAATTTGAATTTTTCTGTGACTTTCTACATCCAAACTGCTATGGTATATAGGCGAAATTCACGAGAACTGTGACAATAGGTACAAGACTTTCACATAAAGTGTCATAATTTAAATATTAGCGATGGGCATACAGGATCCTGAGTGAAGAATAGGCATTTTTTATATTCGTAAGCACCTATTTTCGGAAACTCAATTTTTAATCGAGTATTAACCGAAGGTTATTTCCTTCTTCTAATTGTCATTATCTGGTTCATATGAGGTCGTCGACAAACTGCTTTTGTGAAATCGGATATTTTTTAACCATCCTGTATAGTTGTAGTTGTAACAATACTTTCAGGATTTCAAAAAAGTGATTTGATTTGTCGGTGACCTCAAATATCAGCATCTCAAAGCCTACACGATTCTGTTGCCCCAAAAAGAAGTTACTGTTTGAGTTTTTGAACTAGACCTCCAAATAACATCTAAGGTCATTATCTAGGTCATGTTTTTGGCAATCGACAAAATCCTGAAACTTTTGTTGGAACATTATTTCAGAAAAGCGTAATTGTCGAGTATCGAACCTATCCGTATATTTTTAGACACCTTGTATAGTTCTAAGCATAAAAGCTTGATGGAGCTACGATACAGTCTAGGAAGTTCATTTTCAGGAATGGCTTACATTGAATAAGCATATTTTGCTGGAATATGTCAATCAAATGCTATAGCAAGCCACGGTAAAATCAAAGTGTTGTGTGGAGAAAGCATTAACTCAGTTGCTGAATGTCATTTAAATTGAATAGTGTCTTGCTTCAGTCCTGGTAAACACAACCAATGACACCTTAAGCCGTATCTCATTGGAAAGGTTATGGAAGCTAAGGTGTGTTGTCGTTACGAGAATATATTTACGCCTACCCAACACGCAAGCTTTTTCGCTTTTATTATAGCATTTGCTTTCATTTGATTTTCTATGTTAATTCGATACCGTATAATGTGCAGTTCGTATCAGTATTTGAATGCGCATGCATTGTCTGAGCCTATATTGTTGTTTTGTTCCTCGGAAATGTTGTTAGCATATTTCGGCACGACTTTTGTGGACGGAATTAGATTAGATTGTTCACCCCGCTGACGTTGGACGTTCTATATCCTAACGTTCCATGCAAAAATAAACTGAATGCTAATTTCTAGAACGCACGGAAAACTTCCAGTGTGGTAATTGATTTTTGCTGCTGACAATACACAGGTAGGCTTTTGTTCGCTTAGAAACAAGATTTTCGCGAATTCGAGGAGTTTTACGTACACAGCGTAATTCAAGAAATTGCACAATACTTAAAGCAAAGTTACACCGAAAAAATATTGAAATATTATATTAAATTTTACTTCAAATATACAGACCAATATTTTTTTCAAAGGTCTGGCAAAAGTGTTTTATATTACATAATTCAAGTGAAATTCAATATACTACACAATTTTGGAGCTCTGTCACATCACCAATCACAATATATCACAAAATTCTTCCTCTCAGCGTTAAACACATTTTTGTTTCTTATTTTTGTAAGAACGCTGTTACAACTGGAACAATGTTCTAAAAACCAAAGAGAAGAAAAATCTTTTACCATCGAAACTCACATTTTCGTATATCGATGGCTTAGTTCTAATACGGTGCATCCCCAAAAAGCGAGTTCAAGATTACTTTGTCATTTAATCCTGTTAGCTGTTGTTATTGTCGCATTTGAGATCAGTTGTATCTGTTTTAGACAAAATATCGACAAGTAGAGACCATTTCAGCCTTGTACGTGGCTTAAGAAGTACGACCTGTTAGTCTTCCCCAGTCGGTTATGTCTTTTTTACTCTATATAAAAATTAGGAAACTAATTGGGATATAGCAAATTGTGCGAATTTAATTTTGTTAGAAACAGAATTTTAACATCGTTTATTATTTGCTAACAACAAAAGAAAACATAAAAATATGAGATCATACAACTTCAATTGTTATTTTGTAATAAAAAATAAAAACAAATTCAGACTGGTGACTTCTCACAGTAGACTCAAGCTCGGTAACGAGCAGCAGAGTAGAAAAATCCTGGATGAGCCATTTTGTTTCTTGTTTTTGGTCTTATTCGTATCATTCCATAAAAAATGATTATACAAGACGAAATGTAATACATTTTACTGTCTTTTGCGTTTTTCGGATTACCTCCATTTTCCAAATTAGGTTTCCCTGACTTTTTATCAGTTTTCGATACACTCACTTTCTCTATGTACCTCGAGTTTGTAGAAATATTAGAACACTTTAAAATTATGTTTTGTTCGTGAGCTAAGTAACAAGTTTATCTTACGTCTCGATTGAAATACCTTCATTTTTTTGTTTCTCATTGTCCGTCGACGACTTTTCTGGATCTTCTTCGACGTTGTTTAACATCCTAGTTTCTTCTGTCTCTTCCGTACTTCCTTCACATTGGAGTGCATCGTAAAAGTGTACATCTTCAGACATTAGTCTTTTGAATCCTTGCAAATGATCCTATTTCTTTATTGTTATAGCCTTGTCTCGTAGAGCTGTTTGGGCGTATAGGTTATATCAATTTGTTTTTGGCGTTGGGGTAAGACTTCATAAGGATTGTTGATTTAAGATTTGTAGTAGATTTGGCCAGTGTTATCATATCTTAGGCATCTCAGATCGTTCATCCTTAAATATTTTTTTTTATTTCTTAGACATATGGAATTGTACCTTTTACAGTTTTACTTCGAAAATCAGAAAATACGTTCAGTATCCAAAATAATGTTTTGGATACTCAACGCCCAAAGAGAATGATCGCATCTCTAACTAGGTTTATGTAATCGGTAGGCAAATGTACGTCTTTCCGTCTAAGGCTCCTTTCAATGAGACATTGAGTCGAGTCACACTCCATTTGAATGTATCCCTTCTCCAGATAATCCTGCTCAATCTCTATATTATACCTGTTTTTGTTTTGGTATCCGCAACTATCTGACCACAACATAATCGATTTGGCTAGAGTATTCAAAGCAGACTCTCTTTCATACTCGTTCCATTTATTTAGAGTAATGCTGTAGCTCATTTGCTAAATGTCACTTTACAGAATGCGCCAGGTGAATGAATTGTGCTCATTCGGTACCGAACCGCTCCCTCAGAGCTAGCGTAAGCCAGCGAACTCTTTGTAGTAGTTTGGTAACGTTCGATCGTGCGACCCAAACACAGCCCTTGAGTATGTTTTAGAATGTCGATTCAATGAACTGATAATCACTGACAATGAATACAACCTGCTGAAGCGTATTCAAGATAGCGCCAAAGTCCAGCAGCTCAGTGTAATAAACGCAGCGTATGTGTCAGTGAAAAACAGAGTGAAGCCATGTGTACCTTGTAGGGTAGAATGGGTGACAAAAATCCGAGCTAAATGTCAAAAAACAGCAAAAATAAATATCTAGAAGACCCATTAGCCATGAGAGTGTTGTACATTAAATCCAAAAGGCTGTAACCAATCTTCACTTTTTAATCAAACTTCCGAGCAATAAACTAATGATTCCTTCGAATCCAAGTATATATACTAAGTGACATATAAATCCGAACACCCAGTTTAAATGGTTTTATTTTAATAAAAGTTGGTGAATGTATTTATCTTACTGTAAATAACAAGTGAAAAAATTTTCAGCCTTATCAGTTGGACATTCCGGTTTTTCTACTGCTTTTTTTTAATTCACTAACGCTCTAAAAATGAATATTTCAGCCGCAGTAAAGAATCAACGTTGGCGGATTTTGGTTCTTGACATCCTTTACGACCGGTTACGATGCCTAGAGTACGGAGACCTGTACGATTTCGTCAACTTAGTGAGTTTGATAGGGGCCGTATAGTGGGACTTCGGGAAGCTGGGCTTTCTTTTCGGGCAATTGCAGTTAGAGTGCAAAGAAGTGTAGACACTGTGGTTAGGTGTTGTCAAGCATGGCTTCGAGAAGGCCGTACGCAAAGAGCAAGGGGCACTGGACGCCGCCGTAGAACAACAGACCGTGAAGATCGCCGCCTAAGATTATTGGCCTTAAGGGACCGTTTCTCCACTACCAGGTCCATTGCAAATGAATGGTTTGCAGAACACGGAAGACCTATTGGCATGCGAAGTGTTTACCGACGAATGAGACGTTTTGGCTTGTTTTCATACCGGCCACACTTGGTCCTCCCTTTAACTCGAGAACACCGACGTAATCGCCTTGAGTGGTGCAGACAACGGTCACTCTGGGATCAAGAATGGAACAGTATTGTCTTTAGTGACGAGTCTCGATTTTGTTTAGGCATGCACGATGGTCGTGCCAGGGTTAGAAGGCGACGTGGTAAAAGGAGGAATCCACAGTTTTTTGTTGAAAGACATGTTCATCACACTGTTGGAGTTATGGTTTGGGGTGCTATAGCTTATGGTTCCAGGTCACCTTTAATCTTCATCAGAGGTAACATGAACGCGCAGCGTTATATCCACGAAGTTCTAGAACCCCATCTTTTACCCTATCTTGACACCCTGGCAGATCCAACTTTCCATCAAGATAATGCCCGACCACATGTTGCAAGAGTCACAAAAGACTTCTCACAGGAGGACATTGACCACCTGTTCAGAAGCATGCCTAGGCGCGTTGGAGAATGCGTAGCACATCAGGGTGCATCCACACATTATTAAAGGTCAAAGGGCTTTAAAGCAGTGCAATCATTTTGAAATTTTTATCATTTTCTTATTATGCTTCATTAAGTACTTATACAAATTTTTATTAAAATAAAACCATTTAAACTGAGTGTTCGGATTTATATGTCACTTAGTATATTTCTGATAAGATTTCTTAGACACTTACCCTGGCGTAACGCTTTATTGTCAAAACACCATAAATATCATTATTTGGTCAAATAAAGAGAGCACTGTCTAAGCAACCAACACAATCACGTTCAGTTCAATTCAGAGAAAATGAATCTATTAAAAAACTTAATATGGTGATGTGCGAAAAATAAAACAAAGGTCATACTTCGCTAATAAAAAAACCTGCCAAAAACTTGTTAACTAAATTTAGAATATTTTCGCGATTTCCTATTTACTTCTATCGTTTATGGTTTCAAGTCAATTGACTTTGTACTTCCTATACAAGGCAACTACTACGGACGAAAACAAGAAATTTTTGTAGATTTTAAAAATTGATTCAGTGGTAGTGGAGCTATAGGCAAAAAAATGGAAAATTGCACAAAAATCGTGTTTCAACGTTTCAATGATCCGTGCTAATTTACGGACATTTTTTGGGGAAATTGAAAGGCGAGGGCTTGGGGTTCTAGGCAGTGAATGGCTGAAAATGTGTCATTTCTGGTATCAGGCAAGACATTTTATTATTACGAAGTTGTTGATATCGGTAACACTTCGCACCTATTGAACATAATAAACAAACATATTTATTTGATATAGCTATAGACAATCTAGTTGACTCCCTCCATTTTTTTTTTGTTCTGCACAGCTGGCAAGTATTGGGAATGGATAATGGAATAAGCTAAAAAAAAACAGTGGTCAAACCCTTTTAACCAAATAGGAAACTAGTCTTGTCGCAATGCTTTAACCAGTTAATTCCGTATTTTATAAAAGAAAACTTGACTCACGTGGTTTTTAAAGGTGACACGGTGATAAACAAAAAAATGGCGTCAACTTGGTTGACTCTACTTCCTACGCAACGCTGTCATCAGATCGTAAAGAATTATGTCCAGCACACACTAACCCTTCTGAGAAAAAAGCTACGAACATGCATGACAAAAATTAAATGGATCAAGTCAGCCAAACAGGGTCATACAGTTGAAATTTCCATATTTTGGTGCTTTTTAGGATTCGGACCTCCTGACAAAAAATGGTGCC